ATATATATATGTATATATATGTATGTATGTATATATATGTATGTATATATATATATATGTATATATATGTATGTATATATATATATGTATGTATATATATATATATGTATATATATATGTATATATATGTATGTATATATATATGTATATATATGTATGTATATATATATGTATATATATATATATGTATATATATATGTATATATATATATGTATGTATATGTATGTATATATATATATGTATGTATATGTATGTATATATATGTATCCATGACCCAGGGGGCTGAAACGAGGAAAGACACTGCAGAGCAGTATGTACAATGCTCAAGTTGTGAAAGTAAAATCATAAGACGATCTCTTTGGGCCGCGACTTGTCATTAAGGGATGATGGTGGGTTTTTACACACACATATATACATACACACATATACATACACATATATACATACACATACATGGGTCTGATTGAATGGGTCTGATTGAATGCATTGCATTCAATCAGAATACCCATATTTGATTGGCTGAGCTGCATCACGTGATGCGATTCACTACCCGACATGCCTCTGCTGTTAAATTTCGTTTCACGATAGTCACGTGCTCGCCCACTGACCAATCACAGCGCACTCTGCACCTCGCGGCAGACACTGAGCTGAACTAATGCTGACGTCATTATAGGCCAGCGAGCAGGCTCTGATACGTCAAAGAATATGCCCAACATGTCAAACTAAAGATCTGATTGGTTGAAGAATATTACAATCAACAATATCGTCCCCGTTCACTTAAACTGCACATGGATGCAGGCCTCCGTCTGCAGGCCTGTGCCTCTGTTCTTACCTAGAGACACAGAGGTGAAATCTGATTGGATAAAAGCTCTATTTAAAACAAGCTGCACTGGAAGCAGAGCAACTGAGGAAGACAGTAGCTGTGCAATGAGAACATAGGATAATGGGAAAAATATTTATATGAATTATAATACATGTAGTGTATTTCAGAAAAATTATGAAATTATAAAATAGATATAGCTTTGTGATTCTGTTTAGGCCAGCAGAGAAGGCCTTGCAGGCCCTGACGGCCCGCCACTGATATATACACACATAGGGGATATATTGCCCTTTCAGTCTGCACTTTTTCTGCTTTACTCAGAGTGAAGCAGAAACGGAAGTGTCTTAAAACTTGCATTCTCTCAACTGACCAGCAGGAGGCAACCCCTGGTTGCAAAAAGAAGTCTGGTTGTAGAAGTCTACGAGAAAATGACTCTACTTCTCACTTGAGTTATTACCTCAGTAAACATTGTCACTGTTTAAAGTCAAATATATGCTTTTAATTCTTTCATTAAACACCTCTCCCTCCCTCTCCTCCCCTCTCCCTCCCTGTCTGTGTCTCTGTAGAACCTGAACTTCACAGGTTTCAGGAAGATCCTGAAGAAGCATGATAAGATTCTGGAGACGTCGAGGGGGGCCGACTGGAGGGTGGCCCATGTTGAAGTGGCTCCATTTTACACATGCAAGAAAATCACTCAGCTCATCTCTGAGACCGAGGTGCTCACATATATGTATAGATATTCATTTAAACATTCTCAGCATTCCATAGTTAAGTACATTATTGCTTACAGTATTGCTTAAGCAGGTTGGTGAGAAACACTTCAAGAAACACAGCCATCACTATCATCAGTTGTTATCAATTAGGAAGAGATCAATATTCAAAATTCTCTGTGTGTGTCTTTCAGGCGTTGGTCACTACAGAGTTGGAAGGTGGTGACAGGCAGAGGGCCATGAAGAGGCTGAGGGTTCCTCCCCTGGGAGCTGCACAGGTCACTCTCACACACACTTAATGATATCACCAAATAAAAAACACAATCTCTAAATGTTCCAGCCCTCAAATACGACATTATTAAGCCAATGATGTAATATAATGGTCTATATGACAATACAATGATAACATTAGCCACACAAATGGACAATGTTACATCTCTATGATTTTACTTTACTGATGTTATTTTTTCATCACTTGTATAACATCTACATTAAGAATAAGTTGTAAGTGTAGTTTCATTATAAGTTTGATTGTTTACTTATTTGTTTGTGTACTGAACAACAAGCTCAGAGAAGCACATTAATGTTGAAGGACGGCCCAGTTATTTGACATTATTTTGAATAACCCCTGGTATATTATATATAAGACGGTGGTATTGTTATCAATATTATAGAGTGACAGGGTTTTGTTAATGTTTTGTGTCTGTCTGCCTGCAGCCTGCTCCTGCGTGGACTACCTTTCGAGTCGGGCTGTACTGCGGAGTATTCCTTGTCTTACTAGTCACTGTGGTCATTACAGGTAACGCACACATACACACACATACAAATCTCAAACAATTATTAAATAAGCTGTGCATCTCAGAATATTGCTCTGAATATAGGTCTGAAACCTTTAATCATTTAGTGACTCAGTTTTTACTTCCTGGACAATAACAGTCAGTATGGTGACGGCATGACTCTGCCTCTGATTGGCTTACCCTGATATTCTTTCCTCACCAATCTCACTCCTCATGCCTAAACCTAACCAGCCCAACCAGCGAGTACTAGCCAATCAGAGCCTGCCCCTACAGTTCCTGTCCAGAGTGTCTGGACCAGAGATATACAGTACTTGGCAGTGAACACACTGTAGTTTCAGGGTAAAAATTAGGTGTATTTTGTATTACTTTTTAAAAGTTTCATAACCTATTTATGTCTTTTGCATTGAGGATATTGTTTCATATTTCTAAGTTGGATGAAGAAATATTCTTTTTTCCATTTTTAAACTAAATTAATAATAACTTTAATTATAGCACCTTTAAAAACAGACTTGACAAAGAGCTTTGACCGACAGAGAAAAAGCAAGGCAATGTAACTACAGAAAGCCCAACAGTGAGGCTCAACCAAAGCAAGACAAACTAAGGTCAAACGGAAACACTGATAAAACAGTACAATAGATGAAACAATAAGAAGAAATTAAATAAATAAATAAAATGACAATAAAACAATAAAAGTGTCTGCGTATTACTTTCCATTTGTTTGAATTGTGCAAATAAAAGTCAGCCTCTCCCCTACAGTTTGTAACAGCAGCATGTGATGTGGAAACAACACGGCTTGGTTTAAAATGCACTCATAGGCTCATAATTTAATGCTAATAAGGAAAACAAACTTTACAATATACTATACCACCAAATGTCAACATATAGAAGGACAGAGAGATAAGTGTGTACTCAAGCGTAAATGTAGAAATGTGTCGAGTCTTAAGATAAACAGAAAGGTAATCCAGGCCCTTCAAAAAGTACTGTAACAAAATGTAGAAAAGAAGCGTTCTACACATAAAGACAGGTGGTATATTACTAAAGTAGTGTTGCACTTAATGAAATCACTTTGTATAAGTTGTATCTGTTAATATTAACAACAATTCTTCTTGAAATCTCTAACTGATCAAAATAAATGCATCTTAAATCTTTAGTCTGCACAACAGTATCGCAGTAGACATACATTTAAAGGTGAACCATGTTCTTTTTTTATCTGCTGAAGATATGAATGCATGAAGCTGTCCTTAAACACAGCGGCACATCTAAAAGAAACAACAGGGGGTGTCACTCTAAAACTGGCAGTTACTTTAAACTATGTGACTTGAGTTTTTTACCACATGCATTATATGGTGACTTAAACAATCTGCTCCACATCTCATGATTTTGATTCAACATGAAGCCCCATGGTATGTTTACCATGGGGCTTCTGCCTTGTAAAGAAGTCACTGATTGATCTGATGTACATGTTCTCACTCTCCTTCTCTGGTTGAGCACTTTTATCATTTTCCTTGTCTCTTTCTGTCCATACATCATACACTCTTTTTCCACGTCTCTCTACCTGTCACCAGGAGCTGTGGTGATCCGTAGTGCTGATGTTTGGCCTATGGTCAGGATCTACAGAGGAGGCTTCCTGTTAATAGAATTCCTCTTCCTGTTAGGTATGCATACCCACACACACCCAAACATGATACGATGCTAAGTTGGGAGTCAAGTTTCTGTTCATTCAATTCAGGACAAGGAAGGAAGGAAGGAAAGCAAGTCTATTAGTACCCAAATAATACATGCGTTTACCTTCCACCTGAGCTCCACAAATGTGAAGTCAGTCCCACTGTTTTTATCTTCCAGGCATCAACACCTACGGCTGGAGGCAGGCGGGAGTGAACCATGTACTCATTTTTGAACTCAACCCCAGAAACAACCTGTCACATCAACATCTGTTTGAGGTCCACGCACACACATGCACACATTGTGTCAAACAAATAGGAGAAATGGCTTCAGGCCCACAAAATGAGATGGAAAAAATAACTTAGTAACCATGTGCATTTGTATCAGTTGTCGAGTGTATTTTCATGCTGATGAATATTTTGGCTGAATTAGTCTGTCTGTGTGTGTATGTGTGTGCAGATTGCAGGTCTGTTGGGGGTGCTGTGGTGCGTCAGCCTGCTGTCCTGTCTCTTCAGTGATAGCATCCTGGTACCAATGCAGGCTAACCCTCTTGCTCTCTACGGCCTCTTCTTCCTCTTCCTCATCAACCCCTTCAAGACCTGCTACTACAAGTCACGCTTCTGGCTGCTCAAACTCTTGGTAACATCACTCAATTACAAATGATACAGTCTTTCAATTTGCTTTTCTGTGAAATATTTGTCCCCACTGTTCATCTTTAATGTCGTTCTAGGCTCTATATTGCATTTAAGTTGAGTGTTTTGGCTGAGCAGCAGGCAGTACAACTATAAGACATACATATTCCTTTTTTGTCCATAATACATTTAAATTAAAATGTCCAAATAATTGATGAATTGTTTCAGCACTACATACAGGGGCTTGCAAAAGTATGCAACCCCCTTAAAAGTTATCAGGTTTGTTTGAATTACAAATGATACCGAGACATAAGTTTTCCATTCAGTGTTTTTATTGCAGTCTCATATTCTCATCATTTTTTTTAAGCCAAAATTTTCTCAGCATACCTTTTTAAAAGAAGTTAAAAACTGCTGCGTGCATAGGTATTCAACCCGAGTGTTTCCCATTAATTAACTAGACTGTGGTGGCCCACCAAAGACAACTTTGCCCCGCCACAGTTTCATAATGAACAGAAAGCATTTCCTGTGTAGCGGTGCGACTCTAGTTCGGCTCGGAGTGTGAAATTTTCTCACGGCTCCACCCGTGTCCGACTTTCAGCAGCACTCGCCTGGACAAGCTGCTTCCATTAACTTAATTAATTAAGTGCAGCTGTGCCCCGTCTCCCCGCGGGGAGCGACATAGTCCGTATGTGGTCTGCAGGGATGTCGGCAACGCACCGGATCCATCTTGAAACACGGACCCAGTCTCGTTTTGTCATGCTTTGTGAGTGTGGCTTTTTGCTGTGTCATCACCATTCACATCCATACAACCAATGTTTTTAAGATTGTAGTATTTACAAGAGCACAGTGTAAAAATACTCTGTTACAAATAATAGTCCTGCATTCGAAATGTAAAAGTGCAAAAGTATTAGCGTAAAAATATACTTAAAGTAACGAAAGTAATGTTATACTTATTATGCAGAGTGTCACATTTCAAATAATGTGTTCGCGGTCGGCCTTTATCACTGGATTATGATTATTGATGCATTAATGTGTTCATTACCAATGTTACAGCTGGTAAAAGTGGAGCTCATTTGAACTACTTTATATGTTTAATAATTAGGTTATATACTATGAATTAATACATCATGGTTTATTAGTTCATTTATATTTTGTATTAAGAATCTGAATCTGAAGAAGCCTAATTAGTAACTATCAATGTCAAATACATATGCTAAAAGTGAAAGTACAATATTCCCCTCTGAAATGTAGTAGAAGTATAAAATTACCTAAATTGGAAATATTCAAGTAAAGTAAAAGTACCTCAACGTTGTACTTAAGTAGTCTACATGTACTTAGTTACATTCTCACACTACTAGAGTGAGAGCACAAAATTCTTCACGAGAGCACAACATTCTTCACAAGAGCACAAAGTTGTTGTTAGATCTAGCCTCTTAATTTGCTCTCAAAGTGCAAAGTTGATGCGTTTAACTTTGAAATATACAAAATGTTCTTCCAGTGAAGCATGCCCCTGGACCCCCCTAGAGGGCACACTGTCAGGGAGGGATCTCTCTCCATCCATCATGGCATATTTGCTCCATCTTAATCAGGTTCAATTGATGACGCTTTTTGGAATTTTCAAATAGTGCCACAGATTCTGGATCGGACTGAAATCTTTGTTTGTAGAACATTCACCTTTTGTCGTTTAAATGTTCCTTTGTTGCTTTGGCCTTGTGCTTACAGTGGGGCCATTGTCCTGCTGAAAGGTGCACTTTCTCCCAAGCTTTGGTTTTTTAGCAGACTAAGCAGGTTCTCCTTCAGTATCTCCCTGTAACTTTCTCCATCCATTCTTCCTCCAATTCTATCAAGATGCCCAGTCCCTGCTGAGGAAAAGCTTCCCCACAGCCACCACCATACTTCATTGTGGGCATGGTTTTTGTTTAGGCATGGGCCGTGTTAGGTTTGTGTCACACATAGCGCATCTTGGTCTCTGACCACAAAACCTTGTCCCACATCTTAGCTCTCGGGCTCTATGGCAAACTCCAGACGTTCTTTGATATGCTCTTATTTGAGTGATGGTCAGTTTTATGCAAAGGTCTTGACACGGTTAACTGGTGCATCTGCGCTCCAATCAGTCACTGATGTCTGCAGCTCCTTCAAAGTGGATAGTTACTGGCTTACATCACACGTCTCCTTCCAGCTTTGACGCTGAGTTTAGAGGAAGGGGCTTGTTTAAGCAGGGCCTGGGTGATATAATGCAGTGTCCATTTCCTTACTATTGATCCAACAGTGCTCACTGGAACATCACAACTCGGATATTATTTTGTGTATTTTTAAATACAGTCTTTTTAAATATAATTATTCCACAAAAATAAACCTTAATGTATCATTTGTAATTTGTAACATATCTGCTAGTTCTACAAGTCGCCGTATACAATTTAAGTTCAGATTATCATTCAAAGTTGTGCCTATAATAATTACAAACACAAAACCGCCATCCATTAACAACAACACATAAAAAAACATTCAAACAGACAAATAAAACAAAATATAAAACGTTTCTAGCATTGACTCAAGTACATAAATATTGACTGGTTGGTGTCATGGTTACAAGACTTGACTTGTAGAAAATGTTTTAGAATCTGCAAAGGGAAGTCTTGGAGCTCTGCAGTTTCCTTCTGATGTACTTCTGGCAGTGGCGGGCCGTCAGGGCCTGCAAGGCCTTCTCTGCTGGCCTAAACAGAATCACAAAGCTATATCTATTTTATAATTTAATAATTTTTCTTAAATACACTACATGTATTATAATTTCTAAAAATATTTTTCCCATTATCTTATTTTCTCATTGCACAGCTACTGTCTTCCTCAGTTGCTCTGCTTCCAGTGCAGCTTGTTTTAGGTAGAGCTTTTATCCAATCAGATCTCATCTCTGTGTCTCTAGGTAAGAACAGAGGCACAGGCCTGCACACACTCACCTGCAGCCAGTGCAGATTAAAGTAAATGGAGAAGATATTGTTGATTGTCATAGTGTTCAAGCAATCAGATCTTTAGTTTGACATGTTGGGCGTATTCTTTGACTATCAGAGCCTGCTAGCTAGCCTATAATGACGTCAGCATTACATGCCGCTCAGTGTCCATGTGTAGCTTTGCCGCGAGGTGCAGAGTGTGCTGTGATTGGTCAGTGGGCGAGCACGTGACTATCGTGAAATGAAACTTAACAGCCAGCAGAGGCTGATGGGTAGTGAATCACATCACGTGATGCAGCTCAGCCAATCAAATATGGGCATTCTGACTGAGTGAGATGCACCATGAGAGAGGGGACTGAGACGAGGAAAGACATTGCAGAGCAGTACGTTCAACGTTCAAGTTGTGAAAGTAAAATCCTATGATAATCTCTTTGGGTCGCGGCTTGTCATTAAGGAATGACAGTGGATCCCGCAGCCAGACCAGCTGAGAACATTATATTTTCCTGAATTTAGGCTTTTGCATTTTTTAAATGCTCTAGCATTATTCAAACGACTTGTACCGAACGGTTTAATACGAAGATGTACATAGTTACAGCCTTAAAAATGAATAATAGCTGTGGCGTTATAAGATGGTATTTCAGCTGCAGGACAGCAGTGAAGGCCCAGGTATGAAATGCACGGCCCGCCACTGACTTCTGGTGTTAGTGGCAGTATAGTGAAGTCTAGTTATGGCAGTTTAAAATGGGGTGGAGCTAGATGGTTTAAGTTTGAGGTGAAGTCTGAGGAGTTGGAGTTATTGTTGAAATTGTCATAACTGAGAAGAAAATATACTTTTGATATTGAAATGATAAAATCTTTGTGGTTTGTTAGCTTAGTTGTAAACGGATGTTATCGGTTTAATGCGGTGTATTAACTGGTAAACCGTGACTGATGTGCCTAATGGTTTGAGATTAGCCCTAACTGTTCAACATATGTTTTTTATGTGTTTGTCAAACATTAGCTGAGATTCCAAAACAATTCCAAGATGCTTAAAATCCTCTACTGTCGCTTTGTGATTGAGGAAAAACTCTTTTTTTTTTCTAACCAGTGTTCCACCTTGCCCAAGCAGTCTGTTAGTTTGGCTGCAGCAATAGTAGCCACAAATAAAACCATATCGTCGGCATACATTTGTAGCCCAACTCCTGTGAAACTAAGAAGGTGTATTTTTCATTTCACTGGATCTTTAAGGTCTTCAGGCACCATCAATGTGCTGAACTACAAAGTGTGATTTAGTCATCATTGAGAAAGCTTTAAATGCCGGTCAAGTCCATCACAACACCCAAAATACAGAGCAAATACAAATGGACTGAGTGTAAAATCAATGAGTGAATGGAGAACAGCGACGTAATCCACCTTGACAGAGCTTACCAGTGAATGCTTCAGTCTCTGACCCCGTCCTCTCTGTCCCTTTCTTTCACAGTTTCGGGTGGTGACGGCTCCGTTTCATCATGTTGGCTTTGCAGACTTCTGGCTGGCTGACCAGTTGAACTCTCTTGGTGTGGTTCTGATGGATCTGGAGTATATGATCTGTTTCTACAGTTTTGAACTAGACTGGACAAAACATGATGGACTCATTAGCAGTCAAAGTGAGACTGAACAATTAAAGGCTGTAAAGACTGATCCAATGATGACCGTGTCATAACCACACCGTTTGCCTGCCGTTCTCTGCAGGTAAAGATGTGTGTAACTCCTACTCCTACGGCATCCGTGCGGTGATCCAGTGTCTTCCTGCTTGGTTCCGATTCGTCCAGTGTCTCCGACGTTACCGCGACACCAAACGGGCATTCCCTCACCTGGTGAACGCGGGGAAATACTCCACTTCCTTCTTTGTTGTCACCTTTGCTGCCCTATACAGCACACATAAAGGTAGAATGGACACTACACTTCTTTGGTGTATTCAATGCACAGAGGGCAAAGCTTACACATACACCTTTATTGGAATATTCCTTACAGATGGCACCAGGCCTTTGTATCAAACAGACCTCTATTACTAACAATAATTTAGTAAGCTGTCTCCCTGTGTTCTTAACTTCTACTGTTTCACTGTTTTCACCTCCTCCCTGTTTCCCTGTTTCCTTGATAAACTACAACAAAAGTCCTGTCATACTCCCCACCCATATTTTTTTTTCTAGTTTCTTTTATATATATATGCGATTCCTTTTTTATCCATTGGTAACTTTTTATTATCAAACTATTGTGTATTGTCAGCTACAGACTGTAATTGATTTTAGTTTATTACTATTGCATTTTGGCATGGCCTTTTCCTTTAGGACACTCAGCCTGTACATTCTGGCAGGGGGACAGACAATGGAAATCAACCTTGCGGCTGTAATTGGGTGCATTTACATTTTAATTTAAAGTGTTCATCAATGTACATTGTCCCTCTCGAAACAAATAAAAACTAAACTAAATTAAAGCCTGAAAAACAAGATTCACAGTCACAACTAAAAAAAGAATTTTCTTCAGGATGTTCATTCCAGTTAGCTATTAGAAATTATGCCAAAGACCATGAGAAAAAAATACTAAACAGTCAGACAGGAACGTGTTATTTCTTTAAAGAAAACGGGTCTTATCCAGTTCTTGTTTATTTCCTCTGTGGGGCGTCAGTGCTTCTGTTTGGCCACTGAATATACAGTATAGGTTAAAGCAGCTTTTCCTCTTCTGTACAAGCTACTCTGAGGAACTTTCATTTTTGTGTTGATTTTGGCGGTCCCTGTGGAAAGAAGCGGTAATGTTTCTGAGCACCAGACTCCCTTTAGAAAACCTCTAATTTTCCTGCATTAGGGTCTGACAGTCTGCCCCGTTCAGTCCCGGTTCTGGTTCTCCTGTGCGCCCCTTTCCTCGAGCGGGGCCTGCAATACGGCCTGGTGTCGGTATTTTGTCTCCCTTCGGGGAGCTGCAAGGCGAGGCTATGCTCCTGGTCGGAGGAGGAGCTGCTGCTGCCAGTGGCAGAGCTCTCCTCCTCCCGTCTGTCTCTAAATGTGCCCTGCGATGAACTGGCGACCTGTCCAGGGTGTACCCTGCCTTCGCCCAATGTCAGCTGGGATCGGCTCCAGCTCCCCGCGACCCTGAACATGATAAGCGGTTTGGATAATGGAATGGAATATAGAAATAGCTAATCTTCTCTAATGGTCTTCTTTAATTTTGGAGGCTTCAGAATTAAATTCTTTCATAACCAGATAAAAGTTCCTCACAGTAACTTTAAGTGAAAAATACAGATTTCTGAGTTATTAGAAAACAAACATCTTTGATTGACATATCAATTTTAAACTTACAGATCTGTCGCACCTCACACCCGTCTCTCTCTCTCCTCCTTAGTTGAAGCCCCCGATGACGCCAAGATCTTCCTCTACTTGTATATCGGCTGTTTGGTGGTCAGTTCATGTTACACACTCGTCTGGGACCTGAAGATGGACTGGGGCCTGTTCGACCGCAATGCAGGAGAGAACACCTTTCTGAGAGAGGAGATAGTCTACCCACATAAGGTATTCCTCCACACAGGGAGAGTAGTCTGATCCTTTCAGTACCAGTCCCTGACTGAATATTAACTACAGTGTGATGATGTGTTCTCCCTGTTTTCTGTCTCTCCCGTCAGGCCTATTACTACAGTGCTATAGTGGAGGACGTCCTGTTACGTTTTTCATGGACTTTAACTGTCTCCCTCAGCACAGTTACTGGGTTACACGGCATCTCTGACATACTGGCGACTATACTTGCCCCCATGGAGGTCTTTAGGTATCATCGTTCTATTTTCTGACTTTTCTTTTTTTTTTGCGTTTCCACACCAAAATCTTCATCCCCTTTTTACTTTACTCCCCTTAGTCCCTTAGGGTTAATAAGTCATTTATTCTTTTCCCTGATCCATCATTCCATAAAATGTCAAATAGTTTTGTCTGATCAACCATCGAAAACTCAAATACATTTCAGTCGTCAGTTACAAAGATAGAAAACATTGTCCACATTAAAAGCTGTAAAAAGTGTGTAACACTTTAGATAAGCCGTTAATTGATTATCCACATTGTTTGTGATTAAATTGAATCACCAATATATTAATCAGATAATTGTTTCAGCACTATTGGGAATCAAATGACTAGACATTTTACAGTACTCCTATTATAATGTTCTGTACTGCTGCACTGCTTCAGCAGCTATTTCCTGTCTGTGATTGCTTGAATTATTTAAAATAGAACAAAAAATATTTATCATTTAAATCTATTATCTAATGATCTTTTATTTTCTTTTAAATCAATCAACTAATCAAGTCATCACCCATGTCCCCCCTAACTTGGAAGAAAACATGTGAATACTGATAAAGCATGGGATGACATGAGGATGTGGACCACTGTTATTCACTGTTGTTAGAATATTTAATATATGATGTACAGTATGTAAGTCAAATTGCTTCTCCTTCCAGACGTTTCGTATGGAACTTCTTCCGATTGGAGAACGAACACCTGAATAACTGTGGTGAGTTCAGGGCCGTCAGAGACATCAGCGTGGCTCCGCTCAATGCTGACGACCAGACACTGCTGGAGCAGATGATGGACCAGGAGGACGGAGTCCGAAACCGGCAGGGCAAGAAGAGCTGGAAGAGGAGCTACAGCATGAGTCTACGCAGACCACGACTGGCCTCACAGTGAGTCTCAACAGTAACAGACGTGAACGAGATATGGGAACACATGAAGCTGATGGGTTACTGCAGATTGGAAGATTAAAAAATATGGATCAAGGTCATCCTCACCTATCCATAATCCTCTTCTGTAGAGCTATAGCTAGCAATTCATTGGCCACGTCACCAGAAGAGAAACGCTAAGGCCTTGGCATTCTCTGGGTGTCAGGATCTATAGTGGGCAGAGGAGCTCCTGTATAAGATCAAGGAACAGGTTACCAGCTGATGCAGAAAGTTTAAAAAGTACAGGAGGAGGAAATGAGTGGGAAAACATATGGTTAAGAAAATGTACTGCCAGAATTTAGCTGGATTTGAATATAACTTGGGAATTAAAAACAAATAAGAATTAGATTTAGCCTTTCATATTGCAGATGTACATTTGTTTTAGAGATGTCGGGAATCATTTTGCCATCGACTCTTACATATAATGTTCAAGTCATAGTCCAGATTAAAAGACACCAACGCAGAAAGGACAGCTGGCAAGAAATCACTGACTGTGTATTTACAGGCTTATGATATCAATGCCCATATAGAGCACGATAGATCTGACTATAACTACATGTGTGTATTCTGTTAAATTAATGTGTTGCAGATGTATTCTCATGGCGTGTGTGACAATATTTAACCTTTATTCTTTCAGCTGAAACAACGACGGTGTGAAACAGACTTGGAAGCAAATTTTAATAAAAGAAGAAATCAGTATATATTCCCTAATCATATATATTTATCATGTGTGTCAGCTTCTTGAGCCGTGTGTTGCAGTGCGACATGTTCGAGTCGTGTCTTACAGTCGCAGACTGACTGAATACAGCGTTACTTTGCTCAGGTTATAAGTTATGGAAGGAAACCTTCTTACCGCTTTGAATTATATTTTTATATTCATTTTTTATTGCCCATAAGTGTGTTTTACACCTCCAGGTTGCAGCTGAAAGAATAAGGCTAAAATGTTGTCATCCACGCCAAGTATTTCACATCAAAGCAACACTTTAAGTTGCAGAATACACATGTAATTATAGTCTAGCTCTTTCGTGCCCTGGATGAAGCAGTGAAGTCTTTTAATGTACACATTTACACAGTCTGCGCTTTATTACCAGCTGTCCTTGCTTCATTTGTCCGTTTAAACTTTGTTATGTATTTGTCTAATATTATAGTTTGCTCTTCATTTGTAAAAAAATGCCGCAGACAGCAGACTTGTCCACGATTGTGATTGGTTATACGCTGCAAACACCGCCCCTTTATGGGAATATCTCGCAGCCAGATGGAGGAACCCCGGGTCGACTTACCGAGTTGATAAGCAGCACTTTAGGAGCGTTGTACAGAATAGTGGCTGTAGATAAGCTAAAGATACTCTGGGTATCTTGAAGTGGCTGTGTAGTCCAGAGTTCTGAAGCTTTGAGAAGAAGAGCTGTGAACATGTCACAGGGAACCAACGATTCAGCCAAAAGAGTGCCACAGTTTAACCATCATAGAGTGAAAACAAGTTGTTCTGCTGCTCATTATCGGCCTGTGTTCAGTGACAAATATGCAATCTGGAGATCGGCATTAATGCTTTCTGCTTGTGCAGCATTTCCTTGAGCTCCTGCAACTAGCCTACATACATATTCACACACAAGTACACACACTGAGTGAAGCCAGCAAACAGCAGAGCAGAGAGACCGCGGCGCGCTAGCTTGGCTAATAGTGAATTGTTACAAACCAGTTAAAACCAAAGCTGTTTGATGTAGTCTAACTGTTTCGCTTTTTTTTTTTTTTTTTTGCTTCTTGTAATCGTCTCTGCTGGCTGAGACAAAGCAGCTCCTCCTGCACAGAGGACTGATAATGGCTGATGTCTGTGTTCTTCATTCTTTCTGAACTTCACTCAGGAATATTATTTATTTTATTGGTATTTTAGATTTGTTTCTAGTGAGATATTGTTTGGTTTATATAGTGACACTGCTGTTATAAACATAAAATCAATATCAATTCTGTTCTGAATTCATTCTTTTAATAAGCGATAAGAACCTAACCGATGAGTATCTATAAGAGTAGTAGTATCGATAACATCGTAACCACTCCCACCCTATCTGCTGTCAATATGCTAACCTGTGCTGTAAGCCCACATACTGTGCGTCATCACTGTAAACGATCTGTTCCATTTCCCCACTTCAGGTCCAAGACCCGTGACACCAAGGTTTTGATTGAGGACACTGATGATGACTCCTGACATCAGGCCACGCCCCTCGCCTGGGTCCAGAATTTATTCAAAGGAGGAAACTCCGCCTCCTAACTGAGGAATTACCCAGCGAGTTGGGCGTTGAACTCTCAACCAAGGACAGGTTTAAACTCTCATGCCTACGTAACCCTTTCTCCAATGCATGAGCCTCTACATGGGTTCAGAACTGTTTGAAGTATTTCAACGAAGGAACTTTTACCTCTTGAACAAACAACCCAGCAACATGGCCATGAAACTCTTTCCCCTACCTTCAATAATAATCAAGGGTGGGCTCACCACTTAAACTCTACCTTACTGAAGCAGTGGGTCACCCACAGCCACCCAGAGGTGAACTCTTCAACTCCAGTCATTGCTTGAGCTCTCCTAAAAGCCTCCGTCTAGCATGAACATCGCAGCTAAATGGAATGCAAGCCGATCACCCTGACAGGAAGTGTCCCTGCTCCCTCTCGGTGCCACTCAGCTTCCACACAGGGAGAGGCTGACGACTTCAAACCTGCTGCTGTTGAGGACCAAAAGGTTTTCTCCCCGCCTGTAGCTATTAGAATCCACCTCCACCACACCTCGAGAGATACGAGTCCACCTTTAATTTGGATCTAAAGCCAGCTTTTTCCAATAGGAGAATAAAAAGGGATGAAAAGTGTCTCCTTCTTTCGGCAACTTTTTAGGCCTTGTGACCTTCTCCCTGACCTTTGGCCAACAGACTATGCTGACAAGCATTTGGTGATGACATTCAGTCACCGGCTTGACTCCCTCACTCTTCAGTTTGCCTCTTCAAATCATCACAGAGCTGCCTACCTGCACCGTACACGCTTTAGACACACACACACACACACACACACACACACACACACAAACATGCACTTTTTAGGAGTGAAGGAGTGGAATGCCTCTTGTGTGTTCACACACAAACTGATTTTAAATGTTTTATTGTTCATGGATGAGCGTCACACACACATATAAACTAGTATGTATTTATAACAGTGGTTGTAAATATGAGACGGACCAAAGTAGGAGGTGGTGTGAAAATATTCCTGAAACATCAAATATTCGTGCTGAGTTCAGACTGCATGGAACAGCAGCTGGAATGTTCAGCCGTGGAGATTTTGATTCTGGAAAAAGAAGATGATCACCTTTAACATCCTGGTCACCACCATAAATATCCTCCATGTGGAAATGCTTTTACTGAATGTATGCCAACTTATTTATGTATGTATGAGTGGGAGGGATACCTAAGTACCACCTGTCAACTTATTTAGGCCCATACATTTTTGTAAACTTGAAACAAGAGTTAGGATGAGGTCCAAGGAATTAGTATTTTTTGTGCCCTGAAATCTTGATTGAAGACTGATTGAAGAGTTTACTGGTTCATGAAACGGTAATTAGCATCTGTTGAAGTGGCTCATTGAAATGTGACGAGGATGAAAGGGATGGAGGTCACCTGTCTGTCACATTGGTTCAGAGTTTCACAATCAAAAGGATGGTGTAGGTCAACTGGAACTCTTCCAGCTGGTTTGGTGGTGAGTGAATCTGATTGGCTGTGTTTACCCTCATGAGATACATACTCGGGTTCCATGAACACGCCGGTTTGGATTTAACACTTTAACAGACTGGGGTTGTTTAAAATAACTGACATATTTCTCTTGGGACAAAGTCATTTTAATCTATTTTTATGTTCACAGGTTGTGAGTGTCTGGCTCTGAGTCTCAATGGCAGAGAGATCCAGAGCTATATTTGGAACCGGCAAATACAAGAAGCACTCTTTTATTCCTAAATGCTCCTGCTTCCTAATTAATGCAAACTCTAAACTTTCTCCATGTTTACCTGTCGTCTTGCTGAGTTAACTATAATGTCCATTTCCACAGCACTAATCCCATCAGGGGAAAAAGAGTCCCACTCAGCACTCTGCTGCTCTGGTTCCCTTTATCACAAATACTCTTTTCATTCACTCATTATTCTTGAGAGTTCTTACTCTACCATCAGTGCAACTCACCGCTTCCTGCACTATTACACATCACGTTAATAGTACTCCAGCCGTACTGTTATTAACGCTCCTTTAATGAGGAGGAATCTAAAGGAAGTGTTTAGTGTGCAGAGTGGAGTTAGTTCTGTGGAAATGTAAATGAAGCCATTGTTGTTGGCTCCCTCTTAATGTGTTTTTTTTACCAGCTGTTATTTGTTCATGCTGGCTCGCCTTAGCCATTACTTGATTTTGTATGAGAATTTACGGTAACGGTCTTAAAGAGCTGGTAGTTTAGGTACTTGGTGTGGTTTTGTATCCATAGTCAGTAACAGTTTATGCACAATCACCATTACATCATCTGCATATTGGAACTCATTTCAAAGGCACTCATGTCACCCTGTGCTACCAAATGATTGGAGCTACTACATGAATCCATCTTCTGCTGTTGGATGAAGACAGGTAGTTGTGATTGCACTGGAGAAAATGTTTTTCTAAATGTTTCTAATAGAGCGAAGATATTCATTTTGTTGCTTTTTCACATTCCCAAAGTGCTCGAGCCACTTCTGCAGTGTGCTGCTGGTTAACGGTTTAGTCCAGCTTGTACTTTCTACTGCTCATTGCTTTTATTAATCAGCCATTTAATATAAACCATTCTGCTTTATTGTTTTCATCAAGCTTGTTAATAGCTTGTGCTATTATGAGTGACGTCAGGAAGCTGATTGAAATCACTGACCAATGAGCAATAAGTCCTCCCATGATGCTGCACTTTAATGCCAAACTTCCTTTCTGTTATTTTCTATGTTCTTTGTCTTTGTGAAGGAAGCTGCATAGTGTTTGAGTTCTAGTAGAGTTTCCTTCATCTTATTTTAGTGCTTTGAATATACAGAAAAGCAACTGTTTGAGGACGGAGCTGTAATATGTCTCGTCTTGGAGCGGATTGGAAATATATCCGCTCATTTTCTTCACTTCTGTTAACTTTGCAAGCGTTTGGCCTTGAAGGATGTCTGTGCTCTCTGAGTGCCCTTCTAGTTGTTGCAGCTATTCGATTTTTGCTGATTAGTAACAGCAGAAACGGATTATCAATATGATCTAAAACATTGTAGGCCATTAGTAATAAATGTCTTATAAAACAGTAGAGAAGAAGCAATATTGGACAGGTCTAGGAGTTCCTACTTCTCTACTAAGCTACAGCAGGTAGATGAGCCCGTCATCAGAGGGTTCACGGAGACGTTCAGCTTCATTTCGCTCTTCTACTTTTGGGTGTCAGCAGCGATTTAAGGTGCAACAATGGAACTGGAGTTTGACAATCAGTCTTTTGGCTCAGCAGGAAGTAGCTTCTGTCAGCATTCAGGATGAAGCTATGAACTGAAATAAGCTTGACTTACAAAATATTGATCTTAAAAATGTTACGCTATCTTCGATGTAAACGGGTGTAAACGCCCTCCTTTAACGTCGGGTTGGCCGATTAGGTGCAGCTTTGCTTGTCCTGGATCCTGTGATCTTGGTTCGTACAAACACTGGTTTCTGGAAAGCTGCTATTAAAGATGAAATGCTTGACGGTGTCTAGAAGTTTAGATTTGGTTCAGTGAGAATAACATTTTCCGTTTCTCTTTGGTTGGACAGTAATGAAGCCGCTGACTCTTCTACTCACACTCAGGGCTCGTCTCTGTCACACTCCCACATGAAGAGAAACATGACTGCCCTCTTCTTTATGTATTCATATTTTAATCAGAGAACATTTCTACACAAGCTTTGAAATGAGGGTGTTTCCTTCACTGCTTTGTTTTCTTCAAATGTCCATTTAGCAGACACAATCATTCCATCCAGAAAGAACCGTTCACTTTGATGCATTTGTTCAGAGTTTCTATTTTCATAATCCCTCAGGTTTTCATGTTGAGATACTTTACATATTATAATAAGTTGCATATTGACCGGAGAGTGGGAGATGAGTTGTTCTAAGATTGAACATCACCTGCCCCTTTTATTGAGTGAACAGCTGTTATTGGATCAATGGACCATTTGAAAACTCTTTCTTTCCGACATGAATACACCAGAGCTCAGCAAAGGAACCTCTGGAAAGTGATTGTCATCTGTTATTTTTTGTATTTTTATTTACTTGATGCCATGTAGGTTGACTTCCCCAAACGTAACGTGCTCCTCTGATACCAGAGCGGGCCCTCAAGGTGTTATGGTGAACTTGTTAGGATTCTGAACTCTGAAGATTTCAGCTGCAGGCTGACGTGTTGTTTGGAACACTTGATCGTATCTTTTTGGTTTTCTTCTTCTACATTCCAGACGATGACTCTCTCCCATTACACTTGAACGCCACACTGCTTATGTTAAAGATGATGAGACTGTGACAGACAGGTGAATCCACCTGTACAGCATAGGGCTGAGTGTTCATCCTCAATGCTTCTTTGGTAGCACTGATAAAACCAATACCTGGTTAGATTTGTGATCCTTATATGTTCAGATTTATGTTTTGTTCATCTTAGACTTCCTTCATTTCGGTACATTTATGGAACACATGATCGTGTTCAGATATTAAAGACAGAAATGTGGCTTTTTGTGGTCAAATGAAAATGAGCTGTATCAAAAACAATGTTTCTGTTTCCATGTCGATACCAACCCTCAAACGCAAGTTCTTTCACAATGTCTTAAGAACGTTTCAATACAACTGTCTATTTTCAACAACGTTCTAACATTTCACATTAGACCAGTTGCTTCACAGCAGAGCCTCATGCAATAATGTGTTCTTTGTTCCCCCCCAATGTCTCTCACTTCTTCATGTGTTCCAGCTCATATTCACCAAACACAAACTTGTTGCAAATCACTTCTTTTAACTTGACTGTCGTCTCTTAATGAGGAGATTTTCCTTTGTGAGACCTGATCATTGATGTAATCATTCACTCTGCACAGCCCCGAGTCCTGCTGTCATAGATCAGCACACACCGGCGTATCGAAGTCAGCAGTGTCGGTAGTTTCCTTATTAGGAAAATATTAATAGCGCTGCCAAGTTGCCACCAGAGCAGCGCCGTGCTGACAGAGGACCTGCGTACAGACTCAGAGGATTAACCTGTTGAAATATGCCAACAAAATATTTTTCTTTTTTTCAATGCTGTAATTTGGCAAGCCATGATGATGATATGGTAAACAAAATATGAATTTTGCATTGGGTATGTATTCTATTTTAATCATGTCATTTTATTTGAATTGATTTTGGTATCTTCAAACTCAAAGCTGGTTCAGGCTGAGGCGTTATGGCTCTAACTCTGAGTGTTTGTCCATGACGGCTATGACACGTCTGACCTACGAGGGCGTTCAACATGTTCTCTGAAATGGCTTTTGCAGCCACTCAAAGACAAATGTGTTGGTACGGGTGCTTCTTGCATGAGGCCCAATGTCTGACTCTCCTCTACAGTTCATGGATGCAACAGAAACCACACAGACTTTCCTTTGATTCAGTTTCTTCAGATGCCCATCGGAGACCATTGAACCCACAAATGGAAGACGTGTAGATCAGTAGTGAAGCACTTCTCAAGATTTGGATCACATTTGAGTGGGATGTCTTTTGATAACAGACAGTTATGCAGATTAATACAGAGGAAGTAACACATTTGGCAGCCTGTAGGTCTTCTGTCCTCAGATCTGGACGCATCGATAGGAAATCCGGGTTTTTGCTGAAGCTTGAGCTGAGCTCCCATCAGTTGGTCTCAGTTCCCCATGGCAACACTGTCCACTCTTCAGCTCCAGGACGTCCCAGTGGCTGACGTTGCAAACGTCTCAAAGTCTTTTTCCTCAAATGAAGGGTCACGAATGTGAGGACACTGTCTCCTCTCCGTTTGGACCAGCAGCGCTGTTGTAAACACACAATCCTCATCCTGAAGTCCTCTCTGGGCCTGGAGCCTCTCAGAGGTCCAGGGACATGAAGCCATGCTGTTACGTTTCGTGTCTTTTTACACCACAAACATGTCGCTTTTTTGTTGTTTTTAAGAAGTTTGTTCTGATCAACTGAGTTGAGATGTTTGATGAAGTTCCATGCTCACTGGCCCACATCTTTCTGTGTGGTTGTAAGAAACAAACCTGGATCAGAAGGATGTGACCTCGATATCGTTGAAGCAGAATTCCAACTAGAATAAAATGGAGCCAAAAAAACAAAATGTAAGACGTTTTCTGGTTGGTCTCCAGAACCAGAGAGAGCGTTTTGTTCCATGTTGTGACCCAGAGCTGTTGATTATACAATCTATTATATATTGATGAAGATATTGATTAGAAGCATTGTATAATGGTGACTGTGCTGTGGGTGTTGTCTTGTCTGTACAGTAGCAGTGTGATGCTACAGAGGTGCCTGGTTCACCAACCCTGTTACAGGTTTTCAGTAAAAACAACTTAAGATCAAAGAGGTGTTTGTGACTGGAAGTTTCATTTCTGTTCTCAAACAAACACTGATGTTTATGTGTCTGCTTACCTACAAGAGTAATACATACAAGGGATTAGATGGTATAGAAACAATTTGGGATTTGAGATCAGCATTAAATCTGACCATTCTGGTGCAGAAAGTGACCGGTCATCAGTGTTCAACCTCGTTGTTTTGTCGAGACAGAAAAAGTCTTTCAAACTCTCAGATGATACAGCGAGGACTTTATAACATTCATGTATAGAATATGTGTGAAATCAAAATGTTCATGCTGAGCAGTGCATTCCATTGGAAAAATGACTTGTTAGCATTTTGAATCTCTCTTGGAAACAGCGATCAGGGTTAGCCTTTAGTCTACTCACTAGTGGAAATATCAAGTTATCATTTCCTGTGTTTTTAATTGTATGTCATCACTTCTGTAGCAATAGACATTCCTGCAGCTATCTTCGTTATTACAGTCACCAAAGTGGTTAGCTAGTAGCTCCTAGTAGCTAGCATTCACGGGAGAAAAAGGGCAGACTACCATTGTCTCTTTGGTCTGGGAACTCGCTGATCGTTTATTCTGCGCATGCGCACAACAGCACCCCAGTGCACACAGGCATACATCCTCCCACGTGACATCACTGCACAGGCCACTCAACATGGCTTTGCTACTCATAAGGAATATGCTCAACAACTTCAAAGTTGGACTTTGACCTGAGTCTGCAGTAAATATTGTAGAAAATGTCTGTATGGTTCATGACAGCATCACAAGAAAAGTTCCATTCACCTCCATTTATATTTAGGAGGAGACGCATTCTGAGAATACTAAGGAAGGGACACTAACTGACCCCGGTAGGTATGTTGTTGTATTTATTTGCTTACGTTTATTATCATGCTGGTAATTTTGGTACTTAATCTATTTGATATTAACAGGGGAGAATGGCTCAGCTTTCATCAGTTTCTGTGATTAAGTTGCGGCGTTGATCAGCTTGTAAATCTATAAACCGGCAAACACAGTTGCATAATATCTTAGTGTTGTGATCCCTTTAATATCTGTCATTATAGTGTTATCTCTAATGAGATGGACCACAGACAGAATCTCTGGATGATGTGATCTGTAGTGTTTCATAGTTCTCCTTTGTCTTTCCACCATTTTCTGCTCTGCTTCAGAAACTCTTGAGCGGCTATAATTAAAGTCCTCTCTTCTCCAGTTCGTTACCTCAGGAGCTCTCTTAAGGCCTGAGAGGCTTTGTGAATAAAGTTCATCTCTCCCAGGATCTTAACTGTTGGGGAAGTTCTTTTAAGAAGTCATAATTCTATGATTCTTCTTAGAATTTTGACCCTATGAGCAACTCTTTGCACTAGGAAGCTTCATGAATACGGTCCTAGGACTGATGGAACCCAAACTATCCTGATGGCTCGATACCACAAGAGAAAACATATTGTTCTTTTAATGTGGGTTAGCTGGCCCTTTAACCTTCCAACATAACAATGACCCACAGGCTCTGCTCCCCATAGTTCAGCTTAGTGGCCCAGCCAAAGCCCCATTGAAAGTATCTGAACAGATGTAAACAGTAACTAAGTACATTTACTCAAGTAGGGGAGAGCTTGTCACACTTTATGCTTTCAATTACATTTGACAGTCTCAGTCCATCTCAGTCACTCATTGTGAATATTAAATGAAATAAGTTCCTGTGCGCAAATGTATAATCTTAAGATTGTATTGAGTTATAAATGGTACAGAAAGCATTTGTGATGAGGTGCCTCATCACCAGGTAAGTTGTCAATGGACAACTCAATCAGAGCTCCGCTGTGTCCTTAGGCCAGACACTTAACCCCAAATTGCTCCTGTAGCTGTTGCTATGGTGTGTGTGAATGGGTGTCAAGCAGTTAGTGTAGCGCCTTTCATGCTTTTGCGCAATATCAGCTGGGATCGGCTTTTGTTCTCTATTATGTGCAAAATATAATTCAACATACTTACTTATAACAGAACAGTGAGCTGCAGAGGCAGATGTACCATTCCGTTCTACTTTATGTTTACTACATTTCAGTTGGAGATACTGTACCTTTTACTGCTCTCCAATTATCTGACTCAGAGTCCAACACATGAATATAACTGTATAGCAGACCTTTCCTTATACAGTTATCTTCTGACCCCTCACCTTTATCTTGTGACCCTTAGGAAGGGCCTGAACCTTAGGTTGGCAACCTCTACACTAAACTACCTGACTGTACATCAAGTTGTTACCAGTAAACTGCAACAGTAAAATCAGGGCATTCTTTTTAGGGCCCGAGCACCGACGTAGTCGGAGCGGAGGACCTATTGTTATTCGATTGTTTATTATTATTATTTTACCACTTTCATCGCAAAAAGGAGGTGCTTGGGATACTGGAAAACTTCTGAAATTTGGCACGCAAGCCAGAATTTGCGAAAATTGCAGTCTGATTTGGGTGTCCAGCTGCGGTATGAAATTGGCTCAATAGCGCCCCCCTATTGAGTAGTCCTAACATTAGGTTTCACCTAGCTGTATGAAATTTGGTAGGTATGTGGATCGTGATGGGACGTACAAAAAATCCTCTTCGAATTTTTCTCTAAACCAAACAGGAAGGCCATTTTGAATTTTATGACGTTTTTGGACCGTTTCAAGGCGTCATACTTTAACGAACTCCTCCTAGAGATTTAACCCGATCAACTTCAGATTTGGTCAGTATGCTCTTGAGACTTTGGCATTAAAAAGTTACTCAAAGATCAAAAAGTTATCGAACTATGTGTCCGTGGCATGGCGTCAAAAAAACACCATTCGCCATGAAACAGGAAGTTGTTGTAACTCTGCAATACATTGTCTAATCTGCTCCAAATCTCTCTTATGTCATAACATCCTGACCCAGAACACATCTATATGACAATATCGAATCATAGTAATAGCACCACCTAGTGACAACTGGAAGTTGTACGTTTTGTACTTTGACATCCTGCTCCTCACAGATTAATCAAATCCCTCTAAAATCTTGTCAGAAAAGCCTTAAGACCTTGATAATGCTTCATTGTGAAAATTGTAAGAAGTTGTTGAAGGGCGGCGACGTGGCGGCTCGGCGAATTTCGATCCTTCGCCATGAACGAATAAACGGATGTAACTCGACTCCACATCATCAGATCTTTACCAGATTGCATATGTTTGATTAGACTCCCAGCCTGAAGTCATCTGCAGGCCAATTTTGAATCATAGTCATAGCGCCACCTACTGGTAACAGGAAGTTAAAGTCATTATACTTTGGCTTGTTTCTCTTAGTAGGTAAATCAAATCAACATCAAATTACTTCCACACAAATGTAAGAAGTTCATAATACCACTTCATGAAGCTTTTGATGTTTCGTCCAACGCTGTTGCCGTGGCGATGCAGTCTTCGCCATTAACAACGGTCATTTTGAGAGGCTAAAAATGCTTGAAACATAAGCAAACTTGGCAAGCAGATTACAAGCCCAAAATTTAGTTATGGAATACGATTTCATTGGTTCAGAGTGGCAAATCGACTCAATAGCGCCCCCTACAAAATTTCGACGAAGCAGCCCTCTCAGTATGTTTGACCTAGATGTATAAAATTTGGTAGGAACATGTATCACATATGGACTTAAATAAAAGTCTCATGGGGCCATGCTCTAAACCCAACCGGAAGTCAGCCATTTTGAATTTTGTATGAATTTCTCGTGGTTTTTTTCCATTTCCAGGTGCTGTACTACAAACTCCTAGGGAATTAATCCGATCAGCTTAGAATTTGGTCAGAACAATCTAAAGACCTTAGCGATTAAAAGTTACTAAAAGCTTTAGGTTTCATCGAACGACGTGGATATGGTGTGACGGCCATTTTACATGGTTCACCATCATCCATCAAGCTGTTGTAACTGGACTGTACTTTGTCAAAACTGTCCCAAACTCGACATGCTTGTTGACTGTCATGGCTTTAGGACTTCTGCATGCCAACATTAACTCATTGTCATAGCGCCACCTACTGATAAGCACGGACGTAAGCAGGATTCTATAAATACAGCGGCCCAAACACTGACCTTATTGAAAGGGTTTGTGGGCACACCATGAGAAAAGAATGACTTCTCTGATCTAAATATGTGCATAGTAAGATGCTTGGAGAGCAAAAATTAGATAAAAGTGGTTAAGCTACTGTCGATGGGCATTAGCATAAATGATCTGTCCAGAGCTTCTACATGAGAATCAGGTTAAACGTTATAATGAATGCTTCACACTACAATCTAAAGTTGCACAAGAACTTAAAATGAAAACAGTGTTAAATTAAAGTGTTTAAGTAAAAGCAAATGGCACTACTATTTTGTTAACTTTCATGTAAGTCCAAATACAATCAGCAGGACACTGCAGGGAGTTGAACCCCATCCCACTAAACTGACAGTCTGTTATGTTACAAACACTGAAGCGCATTCACACACATTTATTTTTTTCTTAATCATCTTAACAGGCTTACATTTATGATTGTATCGGATGTACACTCAAAACATTTGAGGCTTAAGACCTGGCAACATGATCTTGCTACGCTGCTGGTCGACGCAGGAAATATCATCTAACTCGTGCACGCAGAGTGTGATGGTCACAGAAATGCACGGCCACGTCACACAGAGTCCTGCCAGTACCAGGAAATACCGTTTAACTCGTGCACGCAATGTATGATAGTCACAGAAATGCATGGCCAGAGTCCTGCTAGTACCCTCGACGTGCGTGAAGTTGCGAGGGCCCGATCAATGCTGCTCGCAGCTTTAATTTACTTTGATACTTAAAGTACTTTAACTTAATTAGGATTTTGAATGCAGGCCTTGTTTTGTAATGGAGTATTTTTTTACATGCTTGTTTTGGTACTTTTTTACATGCTTGTTTTGGTACTTTTATTTCATTCAAGGAATATCTTAATACTTCTTCCACCACTGCATGAAAGATGGTCCCTGGCGGACCTGCATGAAGGTGAGGTGTGTAAAAGCTGGTGGTGAAACTAAAAAGATGCAACTGCTGCCAGTGGAGCTACGAAGTAATGAAGAATGATGACTTCTGATGTACACACAGTTTAGTTTATTATATGCTTCTTATATTTTTCAACATTACAAGGTGGAGTCTTAAGAGTTTAGATTGATGGTTGATGGAGGTCAATCTTCACTTGGATGAATAACGGAACAAAGTGGATGAACCTCAGTTGTCCTTACTTCAATATACCACACAGATCTGATCTTGGAACAGCTTAGACAGACCGTCTTACCAAAAGCTTCAAGTAACAGGACAGTCTCTCAGCTTTACACAGTTGATTCAATTCAATTGTATTTTATTTGTATAGCCCAATATCACAAATGATCAATTTATTTCCTAGGTCTAATACATTTTTTTTCCACGATAATGTTAAAAATGAAAATAAATGAATGCACTTTAATGATTTCATCTTCAGAATTTCAGCTGTGGTTGATTTGGTAACTCCTGTGGTTACAGCAAGAACGTCTCAATAACACAAGTCCCAGAGTTTTGATGGAGAACACGTGTTCGTGGAGCACAGGGGAGGAAATGCTTTTAGCAGCTACATGCAGTTTCCTGTGAATCCATTTAATGTAGCACACGAATAACAGACTCATCACTGACGATGCAAACCGATAAAGACAGAGGCCATGTGGCTTTAGGAGAATCAATACTGGCCTACATTGTATCAAACATTTGATGTGATATGATGAAAATCTTACAGCAGCAAAATAACTTGATGTGGACAGTCTGAATGCCATGCAGTACGTCTCTACACGTTTATTTGCACACACACACACACAGGTGGAGAAGAAACTCTGCAATGCAGCCCAGTATGAGAGCTAGTACCGGCAGAGCTCACCTCGTGACTGCTTCTGTCGAACGTAGATGATGATGATGTATCTCTGCAGAGGCCGCGTGCTTCCAGTAGCTGCTGGTGACCAGCAGAGGGAGCAGAGGGAGCATGGTACTTGTTGAAATAACGTGTTGAATATTACACTTAGTATAGAAATAAGTTGATTACATTTGATTGAGTGCATACTAGAAAATAATGAATGATGATGTAAAAGATATGTCATCATATATGTAGTTCATATGATTCTTGATCACAAGTCTGTTTACTGTTACAGTTCCATGAGCAAGGCACTACAGCTGTAACTGCACCAACTGGTTATTTTGTCCACACACACACGCAGTGTCGTGTTTTCGTGACTTTATTTCCGAGAGACTTTTTCTAACTTTAAACCAAGTCTTCACCCTAAAATGCAGTGATTTACGTCATGGGGACGGGCCCCCATAAGGAAGGCGAGTCCCCACTATGTGACTCTGTGAACATATTTATTCAATTCAATTTATTTTGTATAGCCTAAAATCACAAATGTGCCTCAGAGGGCTTTACAATATGTACACATGTGACATCCTCTGTCCCGGGACCCTCACATCGGAACAGGAAAAACTCTCCCAAAAAAGGGAGAAACCTTGGGGAGAGCAACAGAGGACGATCCCTCTATCAGGATGGACAGAAGTGTGATAGATGTCATGTGTATGAACAACGTAACATTTATGTCCCCACTAGACTGGTAAAACACGCCCACACACACACACACTCCGCCCTCCCCTCTCTCATTTGCGGTCCGTCTCTTTCCTCACTCCCTCCAGCAGCAGCAGCCCGCTGGCAGTGAAATGTAGCCGGACCTTTGTGCGACATGAACGGGGCTCAGCTCAGTGAATTCCCGGACGACTCGGAGCTGCTCGGGCCGTATGTGAGCGGCCTGAGGCGGAGAGCGCTGCTGGCCGGGGAGCTGTCCGCTGTCAGGACGTTCTCCGAAGGCTTTCTCCTCAAGTTCCTGCGGGCCAGAGACTTCGACGAGGAGCTCTCTCTGAAGGTACCGAACTAACACACTGTGGAAGTATGTGGAGGCTGTTTATGGACTGAAGTGCTTGCTGTAAGGGCTCAAGGGCTTGCTGTAATGTTTGTACACTATCATTCACCGTGTACTTACTGTGATGAAGTGGCTCGGTTACATTTACTCAAGAAGCCTTCTGCACTTACGGACAAACTCGAGGTACTTGTACTATACTTGTATATTTTTGTGCTACCTCATACTTCTACTATCAGAGGTACACGTTGTACTTCTACTCTACATTTATCTGACAGCTTTAGTTAGTTACAGATGTTTTTCATACACTTCTCCACATTTGGTGAGTTGGATTGAGAATTCTTCTTAATACCTAAATGGTTTGAGAAAATGCTCCTACTTCATAAATACTGTGTTATAGAATAGTAAACCACTGACAAGGAACATTACTGACTACGTTTAAGTATTTAATGCATCTTTCTGATAATACTTTTACTTAAGTAAGGTTTTGAATGCACAACTTTTACTGGTAATGTGAAATTGTTCTGCTCCCAATCACTGTACAGATATAGCTACAGAAGCTGCTTTGTAAAGGTGAACAGCTCAACAAGGCTCCACTAGCACAATCAAATACTGGTACACGTACTTTATGCAATTCAGCTACGGCTTGTACCAGGTCAGCTCCGACATGTCGTGTATATACATTCATAAAAGGACTATGAAGTTACAAATATTTTGGTGATGTTAGAACAACTATTAGTTCCTAAATTGAGTAATATTGGACTGTGCATGAACTCTACAGTGGTTGGGTCAGAATTGAATGCAAATACAGAATGATTCTAACAAAAAGGCATGAGCATCATGAGCCCACGGAGCAACCTCAACAGCTCTGAGCAGCTCTGTCACTGCACTGCACTTTGACAAAAACTACATAAAAGCAAGGTTGATGCCCAATAAAATGTCACTGAATACATATAATTACATTTGCAACCCTGCTCTGGTTTGTAGTCCCACAATTAAATTACATTTATTTTTGTATGGCCCAAAAATCATCAATTGCCTCAGAGGGCTTTACAGTCTGTACACAAACAACATGTTGCGTCAAAACAGCAGAATATCATCCAGGTTAACGGAGATGGAGCGGACCAGGAGAACACAAACACAGGGAGAGGCTACACTAGGGTTAGGGGAAACGCGAGGAAGTGCCTGCGCTTCTCAGATAGATCTGTCAATCAAACCATCCGGCTTGTCAGGTTACTCTCCTGCACCTTGTGGCATAGAAATGAAAATGTGTCAGAATGTTGGCTTAGCACGTAGACCTTCATGAACTTCTCTATCCATATCAGGGCTGCTGTTGTCATCAAAACATGAGGACATTATAGATGTATTACTTCACATGGACTCAGCATTCTGCTATAGGTTTACCTCTGAAAGATTATAGCACTGGAGAACATCTTTGGACATCCAATGTCTAATAAAGGCCACGTCGGTGGTACCAGGATTCAACACAGACATACAGTTGCGTGTCATCCACATAGCAGTGGTAGTCAAAGTCACTTCTACGCATGATTTGAGGCTTTGCCAAGCGTTACAGATGGGTCTGTTTGACAGGTAAGAGATGAACCAATACTGAGACACCTCACTGATGTAAATGTGCTCTTTCAAACGGTTGATTGTGATAATATAGACCACTGTGTCGAAGGTTGTGCTGAGGTCAGGAAGAATTCAAATCAAATAATAGGTCCAGCAACACAAACCTGGTTCTGTGTGAGAGGCGCTTAGAACCTGTGCTTTTCCTACAGTGACCAGTTCAAATGTCTGCTGTCAGAAAGGCCTATTAGGCAACTACAACACTAAATAGTGCATTTTATTTGTATCCGTTGTCTCCTGGTACATTTATTCATAGAGTTGACTTTTTATTAACTTAATAACAAATGTCACAGATAGATACACAGATTCATCTCATGAGTTTGTACTGTAGCTATGTATGTTTGTTTGCTGTCTCCCTGCACTCTTATTTACTTTCACACCAACTGACGGATACCAACAGACATTGGAGGAGCCAGGGATAGAACCACTGTGAAACACTAGTGAACCAGGGGTGTACCTGTGTCTGTTGTACACTATACTGACTTTACAGAGACTTTATTATACTCGTTGCTGTATTATTACTACAATATTTTTGAAGACTGGTCACAGTACTCTTTTATTTGAGCATGTTGAGTCAGTGTAGGTTGTGGCTCAACAGGAAGGCTTAGTTGCTTATTTTGCTTTGAAAGCAGCTGGAGCTCACCCAACTGGGTCTAAGCTCAGCAGTCTGTACCACTGATGCACAAACTGACTGACTGTTACCACACAAACAGATGTTTGAATCTGCTTTTTATGATGAGAGAGAAGGGGAACAGACACCAGTGTTGGACAGGTGCTGACCATGGTGCAAACTCCCTTTATCAGAACCCCATAGCCTGGTCTTTATTTTCTGTTTAATCTCCAGCAGAAGGAGCATTTACTCTGATGGTTTGAGTAGATTAAAGCTTATAAATGTGAATGTTTCATGTGTCCTGCAGCTGTTACTGAACTACCAGCGGTGGCGGAGGGAGAGTCCTGAGATCAGCACCTGCCTGTCTCCCTCCTCGGTGATTGGCCTCCTCAACACGACGTACCATGCCGTCCTCCCGCAGCGGGACCACACTGGCAGCAGGGTGCTCATCTACAGAATCGGTCAGTATGAGTGTGTGTGTTGATGTTGGCCTATGACTAAAGACCTCTAGAACACAGTAGGATATGAAAAGCAACAAATGTAACTATAGATATAGTTATATATATCTTGTTAAATATATTGTTGTATTAGTTGCGTTTTATATCCTACTGTGTTCGAGAGGTTTTTAGTCATAGGCCGTGTAGACTCGTCATCATGACTTTTCTCTCCGCTGCATACAGTATTTCCAGCATATTTTAAGCACATGCTCTATGGTTTCGAATTCTTAACGTTCGCAAAGAAATGCTCAAATCTTTCCCAAAGGTAAAGTTTAGTGGTTAGATTGCTTCTCTCAATGTGGTCTTTATTTTGTCTTCTATTGTATCACTTTCCCACTTTGGATTTTGAATTGATTATGAAAGAATTTTTTATTTATTTCATTTCCTCTACACTATTTGCTTTTCCTCTGTGTTTGACGTAGATGTTCTTGCTAAGCCTGTTTGTCCACTCCCTCGTCACAGAATGACTTATGAATGAACCCACGTGATTGTGTCCTCTTTGCCAGTCTTGAATGTGTTACATCAGCTATTCTCAACCAGTCATCAGAGCCCTATGTAGTGGGCCTTGGAGGTACTGATACATGGTTAGATTATATCAAAAATGCTAGTTATTTTGATCTAAATGTGCTTAAGAATTTACATGAATAACAGAGGAATGTGGACATGGCCACATTCCTCTGTTATTGTTTGGAAACGCATATGTTTTGCTACGTTTGCACTGAGCGTCCACACTATGCCCGAGTTTTCGAGCACCGTAAACGGATAAGTTTGAAAACGCTCCCGAGGTCGGAGGAGTTTGAAAACTGCAGGTAGCGTTTTCGTGTGGACGGCCGAAACTGGATACATTCAGAAACGATGACGCCCACACCCGCGTTCGCTACTTGATTGGTTCTTAGCAGTCATGACGTGTCCTTCCCTGATTCGTGTAATGGGAAAAAATATATTTAAGACTGTGTGTCCGTGTTGTGAACCCGAAACTTCCGTGTGGTTAAAACTATGCAGTAATGAGGAACTTGCAGGTGAAAGTCTCATCTTACCTTGAAACCGTAACTGATAGAACGCATCTAACAGAAACTAGATAATGAGCAGATCAAGACAGCCTGTGTCAAAAGACCTGTACTCCCCTGTGTATGATTTATCTAGATTGGGCTTCTCTATGGATAAAATGATGTTGAATCTTGTACTTAGTCGAAGCTTCTACAACATGCTACTGAGTAGGTATTGTGTTGTGCACTCTTCCCTTGCAAGCGAATAAACAGAGAAAGACAACTTTGAATCTTTTGAAGACTTTTTTTATTGATTTGTAAACAACTCTCTCTTCTCCCGATTAACATAGAAATCTTCCATCACATTCGTCACATGTCTATCACGTGACCCTTACCCGGAAGCTCACAAACAACATTGATTACCGATCGACTACCAGGTTAATTTAACATGGACAACTGACTGCAGGCGATGCTGACCTTGTTGTTTTTACTAGCAGCTGTTGTTCAGTTAAAGTCTGCATTTCTGTGGAGGAAGCAGCTGTTAATGGAGCGATTAGCGAGTGGCGTGTCCAGCGGCGTTATCAGACCTACGGAGCGGACGTCTGAAGTCACGGTTGGCAGTAAATGCTCTCCAGTAGGACAGATAGTTAAGCCACCAGCAGAGCTACGTGTGAGAACAGACAACACCGAGGAAACGAGTGAGAGACGTGTGTTGACCACATTTATGGACCCATTATCTAGTAAACGTTTACGTGTAAGTGTTGATTTTAAAGTGAATTTGATATGAGCGAGAGAGAGAGATAGAACAAGACCTATAGCGCTGTAACTAAGTCTGAAAAATAAAACTTCTAAAACTTTCCACGAACTGTGTCTGTTTGAGATCATAGAGGAAGATTTCAAACACAACCTTTCATTATTAAAGACTACTTTATTACTCTGTCGTATTTTTTTTAACTAAGCAACCAATCTACTTCCTGTTTACACCGTCACGCGCATGCCCAGTGTATGTTAATGGTCACGTGATATCCGTTTTCGAAGGTTGCCGTGTGGATGCAGATCAATTCGAAAACGATGCTGAAACGCCCGTGTGGACGGAGATCGTTTCTATTTGAGAACTCCGTTTCCAAATAGAAGCGGAGTAGTGTGGATGTACTCTGAATGTACTCCATGACAGTAGAGTAACAGTCTGTGTTCTCTGTCTGCAGGGCAGTGGAACCCAAAAGACTGGACGGCCTTCCAGGTGTTCAGAGTCAGCCTGATAACATCAGAGATCATCTCCACTGAGACGGAGACACAGAGACGGGGTCTGAAGGTCATATTTGACCTGCAGGGATGGAGTTTAGGCCATGCCCTGCAGGTTAACCCTTCCCTCGCCAGAAAGATATCCTCTGTACTTGCGGTAAGCCTAAAATCTTGCTTCAGGTTTGATTTCTTGTAAATACTACTTCTACTATGTGCCATAACGCTGGACACTTAAGTATTCATGTGCTATGGTGCTATGCTTCATATGGGTTATCCACAATAACATTTGTATTGCTATGCAGAAGACACCCCCAGTTTGTAACAGGTTCTATCAAAAAAGGGAGAACTTGAGGTGTCAACATGATGACTGCATGTTACACCACAGGAATAACATTAGGATGTCATCATTGTGACTTTCCATTCACATCTAAGGCACACGACTGAAACAACACTCCATTAAAGTCAGACTCTTTCTTTCTTTAAAACATAGTTGTTCCTGTATTTGTTGCACAGTGGCTTGATCATTCTAATGTGTAGCTTTTAGATCTGCCGCAATATTATATTGAAAGAAAGAAAGAAAAGAATTTGATAAGAACGAAGAGTTTATTTCAACCATGCTCTGTCTGGGAGCTTAATTTGCCCGAACCAATCAAAGGCAGATGGATCTGTTCGACAGATGTGATTTTTCGAGGATATATGTCAATTTAAGCATCAAGTTTATTTTACCCTTTGGCCATTTTCATTTGGACAATCTTCTGACTCTGGAACAGGAGCCTCGAGTCAGAGAAAAGAGGCTTCAGCATTAATTAAAGATGACCAATTTGCAAAGGATCAAAGGAGGCTGCTAAAAATATGCAAAAAGATTAATCAAAACGGCTTCTTTCCTCTGGCTGTCAGACTACTTAATTCATCCTCCACCCTCCATATATGATAGAGTTTTGTTTTATTTTGTGTTTTTTGTGGGACTACAAACTGCATGTCGTTGCACAACCTTGTTGTACAATGACAATAAATAACCTTGTAACCTTACAGTATATATTATATATATATAATATAATATTCCCGGGGTTAGGAGGATCCTAAAGTATGTTTCATATCATGAAAGAGAATACGTAGCTGGGTTAATTGGAAGAGAGAAGGTTAAATTGGTGTGTAAGTTAAAGTAACAGTTGAATAATTTATTTTCCATGTCTGCCTGTCTTGTATCATGGACAAAGAACTCATAGTATTGCGTCATATATACATATATAGATAACTTTTGTGGGGGAGAAATACGCTGAAAACAAGTCAGAAAATACCTAAATACCAATGTTATGCTTGACCACAAAGGTTTAAGCAACATTTTCTAGCCCTGTCCCCAGAAAGAATCATCCCTTAAGGACTTTTTATGGAAAATTGCTTTCTGAAAATGTATCTTTGAAGAAGTCTACATTGTAAAACGTCACTCAAAGTTTGTCACATATTTATGGCGTTCCAGCACCACTATTGTTCTAGAAGTACGAGTGCCATTTCATGGCACTTTAACGGTTGTTTAGATCATTACCTGGACTTAATCACATGTGCACAGATAATTTAGCAAAAGTGGTCCTCATCACGCTTATGGAGCCTCAATGTAAAACGGTGATGTGCCAGATGTGCAGCCATCAGCCACACTCTGAGCCCATTTCCAATGATATCTGCACCGATTAATTGGCCAAACCTATTAATCGGCCGATCTCTACTTAACTTCATCTCTTGTGTGAATTCTGGTTGCAAAAAGCCAAAATGGCGACAGACAAAATGGCGAACTCGAGGCTTCAAAACACAAACCAATGGGTGACATCATGGTGACTTCGTCCACTTCTTATATACAGTCTATGGGGAGAACACCACTGTTGTGTGCTACATGTGTGAAAGGGAAATTCTGGACAATGTCTGGAGTTCATATGAGAAAATAGCCTCATAAGACTAATGTTTTGCAGGGTTTGATACGACTGTTTTTAGCTATTGTATTTAATATATAGCTATATTGTTATACAAGCCTGATTGGTTGACCAAGTAGTGAGCTTGCTTAATGTGTTTCTACACCCGTCCTTGTTTTTGATTTTGCATGTTCAGGACTCCTTTCCACTGAAAGTCAGAGGAATCCATCTGGTTAACGAGCCATTGTTCTTCCGACCTGTGTTCGCCATGATTCGTCCCTTCCTGCCAGATAAGATCAAACAGAGGGTGAGCAGCCTGTTTATCACACTGATCATACTGCACTGCACACCCATCTCTGTCCTCAGACTCTCTTTACAACATGCCTTTCAACATTCTTTAAGATCAAGTTCCATCTCTCCCTACTGTAGATCCATATGCACGGTGCTAATTTCCACGACACTTTAAACGACTTCTTCTCACCACCTGTCCTACCTCCAGAATACGGTGGGGAGGGGCCTAGCATAGAGGGGGCCTGTCAGGAGTGGACCAATCAGCTGCTTCAGTCAGAGACACTCTTGCAGCAGATTGCCACTCACCCAACAGGTGACATCACTATTCATCCTGAGGAGGCCTTGATTTCGGAGGAACGGGAGACTGAGCAACTCTTAGAGGGATGATGTCTCAGACCACACATGCTGTATTTAGACTTTGGATTTATAACAACCTAACACTCTCTGGCAGCCATTTTTGAGGCCTTCGCTCATAAATACTCACTGTGCAAGATGTTGGCTGCATCAAGACAGCTGTCTGTGCAATTTTTAACATTTCAGCACTGGTCCATCTGATAGCTAGTGTGTGCGTCATGTTTGCTTGTTAGCTGTCTTCCCTGTTACATTGCTCATTGAAATCTGACCAAAGTGAGACATTTGTTGTTGTCTAAGTCTAATTGAAATGTACATCTTTGCTTTCTATCCAAGAGTGGCATGAAGAAGTCGATGTCCATTTCAAGTCTGTGTTTTAAGTACTGACTTTAAATAAGGATGTTAGCTCAGCTTAGGTTTATAGAAGGAAACAGCTAGCTTGGCTCTGTAAGTAAAAAAGAAAAGACCTCGTAAGCGTACTAATTGTCTTGTAGTGTTATTTGTCAAGAAATTACAAATACAAATAACAATATTTGGGCCTAAAATTACAAATTGTTGTTTTTACATTTCTCTTAACTTCCATGTGGAACAAACCGGCTCGACTGTGTAAACAAGAGAATATTTTCTACCTTGGAAAGAGCCAAGCTATTGGTTTCTGAACTTAAAGCACAAGCATGGAGGTGATATCAATCTGCGTATAAAGCATTTCTTTATTTAAATCGAACTAGTATCTGCTTATTGCTCAGTGTTTACAGTTGGTTCAGCTTAATTTAGCCAACTTTTCTCAAGTTACTGGGACTAAAACTAAGGGTTCCAAAGTCAAATGTCACGTCCACTTGCAAAGAAACTTTTGTCAGCTCTTTTACTCTTACAGGAATGTTGCTATGTTACTGTATACAAAGAAGATAATTTTTTATAGCTAGACATTAATACCCAGCAGTCACTTGTCCAGTGGACCTCAGGGATGGAATGCTTTTAGGAGATTTGTGTAGCAGCTGAAGGGCACAACCTTCAACCAGAGGCCCAAGCGACAAGAACCAAGAAACAAACGGTCATCTTGCTGTAAAATCCTGTGAACTCAATCTAAGCACCACTGTGACAGTTTAATGCTTTGAAAAAATACCTTGAGGCCAAATAGTTTCCACCACAGTGTGTTTTCATGGACGGGAACGCTGCAGAGAGCATGAACCCTGACTTCCCTCCAACTCATCACTCCATCCACACAGTTATCTTATCAGCCAGCCGAACCAATCCATCCAGCATTCTCTTTGTTAAAGTGTAACTCCACCCCAGGTCGGAGCCCAAGTCCACCCACTGCATCATTGAGAGAGAAAAAAAAAGGGCAAGGGCCTGAGAGATGAAACCACGCCCACTTGTGTATGACTAAAATCTTGATGAAGTGTCAACAAATATGACAGCTACAGTAGTACAGTAGCTTGGAAAATAGCAATGGGAGCGCTGGGAGACTATTTCGCCAGGAGGAGAGAGGAAGCCAGCTCTGGAGACGGAGCATTGTGGTTGTGGAAACTTGAATTCAGCCTGCTCGAACCCTAGCGCCTCTGGGTGTCTTTGGAGCAGCCGTCCACTCTCCTCCTGGCGAAGTAGTCTATCAGCGGGGAGCAGAGACCCGGCACTGCCACTGGCCACCAGCCCGCTCTTCCACTCATTTTCTGTAACCAGTGTAGCATGAAAACAAGGTGGACTTAGCAAGCTAACTAGCCAGCCGCTAAATGAGTAACATTTAACATCTTAATGCTTCATCTACACACATTTGTAGGAAAGCATATTTCTATCCCCAGATAATCTGCCATTAAACAATGATTCAACAGACAGCGGCATTTCTTGTACACAGAAGGAGAGAACAGGCATGTGCTGTGATTGTAACGCTGCACAGCTGGCCCTAACAGGCGTGTTTAGCCATTTTCAACCATAGAATGCTGATTTCTTTAAAGTTGGTAAGACATTTTAATAATACCAACAGCATTGATGTGTTTCATCATAGTACAGTCATATCATTGAGCTAATTGATTCAAAAACACATTTATCTGTGAAGTACATCTTTATTGACTTAACTGTTTAAACGTTTGCTTTCTTTTCATTTATGATAAGGAACCTTTGACTATGTTAGGACCATTATTTTCAGAAGATCCCAGGTGTTGTGAAATTTTTTCTGAAATTGTTCACAATGAGTTTATAATTATTTGTATTAATTGTTGCCAAACCTACAATAGGTTCATAATAACAGAATGTTTATTTATTTGCGTTGCTATTTTCAGAAAAGAGAATGAATGTATATCTTAGGTGCTTTGGTCTTTCTGAGCACATACAACTGTATTGACTTTAAAGTTACATAAGAAAAAGCAAACACAAAAGCTCAAGTTTTAATGTTGGTAACACATTTTTAAGTGTTAAATAATTTGGTGTATACAATATGATTTAAAGTTATTTTTTAAACTTGAAAGATCTTCTGACTATTTGAAGCACCCGTGTTGTTGTGTCCTCTTCCCAGATATGAGATATACTAAATCTGACCTGTTCAAAATTTGAAAATAACTTACAGAGTCTTTTTAAATATGTAGATCTTATCATGCTGTACTTTACATAAAATGTAATCATTTTCCATTGTGTAGCAAATTTCAACAAGTGAGTGCAGATATAAATATACAATGAGCTGCAGAGTTGGGTTCTTCTTCTCTTACTTTATTTATTTGACAGCTGCACTAACTGTTTACTTTGCAGATGAAGATTTGAAAAGCCTATAATAAACATATTAAACTCAATGCTTGTTTATAGATTAACAAAAAAACAACAGCATATAAACTAACTGGAATTGGCTTTACTGCAGCCAGCAGTAGAGTGCAGCAAGAGCACCAGGTCGCTCAGCTTGTTACTATATCAAAAATGATAATCCAATAGTATACTTGTTTTCAAATTGTGGTACTAACTTTTACTTCAGTAAAATATTTTATTACATCTTCCACCACTGATTCAGTCACAAGTCTAAAACCCTCAGTAAGCAGCTGTATGAAGCCTTAAGGTTTACTTTCATAACCTTTTGTGTTTTCTTTGAGTCTCACTGTCCTCCCTCCTCTCTCTGTTTTTCTCTTGGTGCACTGTCACTCTACAGACCTTTGATCAGTGTTAGCAGGTCAGTAAACATGTCTATCAGCCCTGCTCGGTCTAGTCAACAGCTGGGCTTAGTGCCCCTACAGGTCACCGGCTGGGTGTTCTCTTCCTTACCAGTGCTTTGAATGAACACTTCTATCATGGATTAGCTATGGACTGACAAACTTCCCCCAACTCATTTAGACTTTTGTGTAATTCACAAATGTTCTGATTCATATTTTTCCCGACCTTCCAAAGTTACTTAGGAAGCCGTGTGTTGTTGACTAGACCTGTCGACAGACTGAAAACCATGTGTCTCCATCAGGTGTCAAATGCAGAAACATATCTTCCATCATCTCTCCAACCACTAACTTCCCCTTAAGACAACATTGCAATAGTGTTGGGCTAACATTACATCATCTACCACACATACACAGCACCCTGAAATAGGTGAAATGCAACCTTTCAGTGTTTGAACAGCACGATGACCAAGTGCACACCCAACCAGTTAATCATTAGACATAGAAACATGCTGAAGACACGTTGGCTCTTTACAGACCTTGCTGACCTGTGGAGACTTATTGGTTACAAATGTCATAGCAGCAGGAAGTAATGACCATGTTGATACTATATCCACTGCTGCTGTCCTCATTTTATTTATCATCCATCATCATTCTGCTTTCAATTATTTGAATAATTGAATGTGTTATAACTCTGTTATGTTCATTCTGTACACATGACATCTATCACACTTCATCCTGATAGAGGATCCTCCTCTGTTGCTCTCCCTAAGGTCTCTCCCTCTTTTCTCCCCTTTAAAGGGTTTTTGGGGGAGTTGTTCCTGTTCTGATGTGAGGGTCCTGGGACAGAGGATGTCACATGTGTACAGATTATAAAGCCATCTGAGGCACATTGGTGATTTGGGGCTGTACAAAATAAATTTAATTGAATTAATTTACAAGCATTATTATTAAATGACTGACTTGCAGGACCTGCAGCTTGCCTGGCTTCTACACTGCATTACATCACATAGGAGAGAAACTCAAAGTTCACAATATTTTGTAAATAATCTTTCAATGTAAAAACAAATATATTGTATATGACTTTTGGACCTTCAGATATCACATGTGAAAACAACTATTTCAAATATCACATGTGAAACAGCATTGTGTGCATGTGAGATGAATTCCCATGCATGCAGTTATGTTTTTTTTCATAACCTGTTTGTTTCAATGTTTCAGTGCTTTGATAGACTGCAGGGATTTGATTTGTCACTATTGTCTATTGATGTGATGCAAACTGACTTCATGAAATCTACAGCTTCCTGTGTCCACATGGTTCCTCTTTAAGACAGGCAGCAGAGACACGTGAGTGTATTACAAGAAGAAGAACACAAAAGATGAACTAATGCCTTGTTTTGATAGAGTTACACTTATTCAGCTCCCACATTGTTGTTACCTTTTAAACGCAGGTATCAATTATTGTTTCAAAGCAATACAATTACAGTGTTATTCATCAAAGATTGAGCCCATGCAGCTCAGAGAGATTGTGTTGGTTAATCAATGGAAACAGAACAGATTAGTATAACATGGAGTAAGTTTACCAGGAAAGCTTTTTGATTTGAATCCAAAAGGGATTTACAGAAATACAATGAATCATCTCTATAACATAAACATACATATGACTTTTCAAATACGCTTCACCAAAAGAAGAAAGCCTTTTCCTTCTGTGGATTGCCTCAAACAAAATGTGACTTGAGAAAGAAACTGAAAATGAATAGTCTTAGATAACATTTAGAGCACAGAAGCTAACTCTTTATTCTTGCACTACATTTAAGAACTGTACTTCTATGTAATCGGGGGTATTTCTTTGTATTTGCATTTTCTGCAACTTTATACTTCTAATCCATTCCAATTCAGAGGCACATTTTATGATGAATAAAATATAATCAACAAATAAATCATGATGTATTATAGGTCAAAATAAGACATTTTATTCATCTTCTATGTATGCTTAACATCTCTTATTAGCTTATATTTCAGTCTGTGTGTGAAGCTTGCAGTCCATCTATGTTGCCCTGCTAGTTCCCAGCAAATGAACAAGAGCTATATATTAACAGCTCTGCTGTGAAATAGTGGGATGTATTTTCAGACTAACAGGACTCCTATTGCAACTTCATCCCACCAAACTGATCCGATATTCAGCTACGTTCCCTGAACCTCTCCTCCAAACTGATGCGTGAAGATCCACAGAGAGCACACACACACACACACACTCTGGTGGCTGGAGAACAGCCATACAGTTACACCAGTGCTGGCACTGAATATACATAAAGGGGGTTAGGAAGAATCAGGTCATCCAGAAAGAGTGGATGTTATGTGCACTGTCAGCAGAGAGCGCAAGAGAGCTGCTGGAGTGAGACAAGTGGCTGGAGACTGGTGATGGTGTGTCAGCTCTGTATTTCTCAAACAAATGAAATTGTTACTAGTTGCATGCAACGGTAAGGCTAATTTAGTCCATTGTCCCACCGCTGTGAATCAGACAGGAGAGGTCATTCAGCTCAACTATGCCCCCAAAAGAGAGCATTTAATTTTCTTAAGACCACACCAGATGCTTTTTACAGCTACCATTCCTTTCTACAACCCTCCATTTCGCTGTGGAAAGGTCTCACTCTGCCCTTTGCCCTGCAGATACTGCACCCAACTCCTATCCATCACCAAGCAGATAGAGAGCCCACAAGGTGACGCTGCTTTAACTTCCTCTCGGCTCTAAAGGCTCACAACACATCATGCTGCCTACCTGCTAACAACAGTAGGAGTGTATGCGCTATGTCGTTGGCTCTTTGTGTTATATCACAATTCATAAAATCTTTGTTACGGATTTAATGTTCGAACTGGAGCCACAAACCACCAGCAAACAAGGTTACAATCACTTTTTCCTTTGATTTAGCCAGGAAGTTATTTTAAAGGTGATTGCTTCTGATTGCCCTGGTTCTACACAAAGAAAGAAAGAGAGATTACAACATCTTGTTGAAACATAAAGTCATCCTTTAAATCATGCCAAATATTTCCCATGAAAGGTAACTTAAATATGGTCTATAAAATATAATTAGCTTTACATGTACTTCATCATAATATAACTAATTAGATCAAAGATGATCTGTTAATCATCTGAAATACATCATAATCCCAATAATAGAAATAAAGGGCTACTTACATCGAAAGTAATTCAAAACACATCAAACTGTAAGTCTCTGTCTGGTGTACTCCCCAGGAGCCCATACATGCTGTGGGCCCCTTCTCAGCATTTTCTGAAATGTTAAATACCGATGAATTATTTGACTAATGGAAAAAATAATTGGCAGAATGATTGATAATGAAAATAATGATAAGTTAGCCCACAGTTATAAAAAAGGCCATGCTGACTTTAAAACTTGAGCCTCTTTGTTGTTAAAGTCGAGCGTGTAAATTACCTCTGTGTTTCACTGTGGGAAAACTACATCATGTGGTGAAACTACATCATGAGGTGGAAGAACATTTTGCCAAAGAATCTTTCTGCAGTGGCATTATGTTTCCTCTGAACCATATACGCCACTGCAGATTGATTGTATTTAAACATAATTGATTGCTATAATAATTTGTAAAAGCCCTAATTTAACCTGTACAGGGAGCCAAGAGGAGCTTTGAACATGACAGTTTACTTGTGGGTGAAGCTGCTTACACCCCCATACACACCCATCATGCAGATTCCATTCCATTTCAGTGATTAGATCACTCCTCACAACTACAATCACTATACACACAATGGTGAGGTCAATTCAAAGCTCTCCTCAATCACTCAACCATACATACAGTATGTGAGAACAGCACACACCCTCCCCCAATAATACACCCTGGGGCTGTGTTGTCTGTGAGCTGACCAGATGTGAGATAACCAAATGGTCAGCGTGTTGGAGGGCGTGTGTTTGGTTTGTCCTGCAGCTAGTTGTGAATGTTGTAAAGGTGCCAACGAATTTACAATTGATGTTTATGAAACACATTGATGTCTCGGGCCTGTGCCAAATGAAGCTGTTGGTGTTGATTGTTGGTCAGCAAGTCATCCGCATATTCTTTCAATCGGCTGTTGGAGTAAAAGGTGGCTGAAAGTGCTGTTACAAATACTATAACACAATAAATAAACACATACTGTAACTCCATCTACCTCGGCCTTTCTTAGGCTAACTTTTACCATATACAGCTAATGCAAAACGCTGCTGCCCGGTTTTTAACAAGGTTCAAAAAATGAGACCACATCAGCCCTATTCCTACATCCTAACACTGGCTCATCAAAATCATTCTATTTGTCTACATACCTCTTCATGGTCTCGCCCCTACATATATCTTGGAGCTTCTCGGCCCTTACAGCACCACCAGACCCCTCAGATCCCCCCACCATGGCCTATTGGCTAAAATTGTGTTTAAACTTGTTTCTGTTTATATGTATTTTTTTCCATGCACATATACACTCACTGGCCACTTTATTAGGCACACCTGTTCAATTGCTTGTTAACACAAATAGCTAATCAGCCAATCACATGGCAGCAACTCAATGCATTTAGGCATCTAGACGTGGTGAAGACGACTTGCTGAAGTTCAAACTGATTTTCAAACCGGTTTTCACGCACAACCATCTCTAGGGTTTACAGAGAATGGTCCAAAAAAGAGAAAATATCCAGTGAGCGGCAGTTGTGTGGACGAAAATGCCTTGTTGATGTCAGAGGTCAGAGGAGAATGGGCAGAGTGGTTGGAGATGATGGAAAGGCAACAGTAACTCCAATAACCACTCGTTACAACCAAGGTATGCAGAACACCATCTCTGAATGCACAACACGTGGAACCTTGAAGCAGATGGGCTACAGCAGCAGAAGACCACACCGTGTGCCACTCCTGTCAGCTAAGAACAGGAAACTGAGGCTGGCTCACAGGCTCACCAACATGTGACAATAGAAGATTAGAGAAACGTTGGCTGGTCTGATGAGTCTCGATTTCAGCTGCGACATTCAGATGGTAGGGTCAGAATTTGGTGTAAACAGCATAAAAGCATGGATCCATCCTGCCTGTATCAACGGTTCAGGCTGCTGGTGGTGGTGTAATGGTGTGGGGGATATTTTCTTGGCACACTTTGGGCTCCGTAGTACCAATTGAGCATCGTTTAAACGCCACGGCCTACCTGAGTATTGTTGCTGACCATGTCCATCCCTTTATGACCACAGTGGACCCATCTTCTGATGGCTACTTCCAGCAGGACACAAAGCTCAAATCATCTCAAACTGCTTTCTTGAACATGACAATGAGTTCACTTCAATGGAGCACCTTTGGGATGTGGTGGAACGGGAGATTTGCATCATGGATGTGCAGCCGACAAATCTGGAGCAACTGCGTGATGCTATCATGTCAATATGCACCAAAATCTGTGAGGAATGTTTCCAACACCTTGTTGAATCTATGCTACGAAGAATTAAGGCAGTTCTGAAGGCAAAGGGGGTCCAACCCGGTACTAGCAAGGTGTACCTAATGTGGTATGCTGTTGTGATGCAATTCTGACTGACCATGTCATTGTTCATTCTGTATTGACAGGGAAACTGTGAATATAAATCAAATGCAAAGTTGTGTTTTATGCATATGTATTCATTCACATTGAAATATCCCAAGAGAAAATGAGCAGCCTTGTTGAAAGCAGGCCTACAGGCCAAGATTGCTGCTTTAATGAATTTTACTGTAGTTAATCCGGTCAAATAAGGAATTCATCAATCTATATGCTGTTGTGTGTTGATATTTATTGAGATTATAATATAAATTGGTTTGGAGAGGAGAGAAAAAAAGAAAGCAGGGGAGCTACCATCTTGCCACGTTCCAGAAGGGCAGGGGGGCGGGGCGAAAATAAGACTATCCACAGGGTTGAATTAACGTGACGCCCCTCGAAGTCAATTGGTCTGACAGTACACGTGCCCCGCCTATTTCTGTGTGGCGAGTCTGTCATTGGTCTAAAGAACTGTTTGTCCCAAGGTGGATGAGGCGGTTCTGGGCTTTATGAAGCAGGAGAAGTACATTTGATTCCTTTTCAGTGCTAAAAGTACAGGCTCCAGCTGCTCTTCCACTCTTCTCTCAGAGGTCCACCAGCCAGATACTCGCCATGGTTTCAAAGAAAAGCGCTAAAGTGCACGTAAAACCCAAAGGTGCGTCGCTGCTTTTTTTTTTTCTGTCCCGTTGTATCGCTGGTTGCTGTGGTGGGATGATGCGTTGCAGCCTTTCAAAGTTAATCGGGTGTCAGGCTGTTCTTTCATCCAGGGCCCAGTCCTGGCTAGCTAGCTTAATTTAGCTTCAGAAGATGCTGTAGACGTGTTAGCTGCTCCGTGCAAGTGAGTCTGTTTAAGAGGGTTAGTGGAGCATGTAGCGCTGTTCATTTAAGCACAGCCTTTCTCCTATTAATGTGAACACGTCAACGATGTCACGTTACCGACATTACATTACGTTATTTAACGCGCAGAGCTTTTGATATCGAAACAAAATCATAGTTACTATCGTTAGCTCTGCATTTAGTTTGCCTATATAACTCTATATTAGCAGGACGCGACAGAAGTAGCATTGATACGCTAGTTGTTCATCCGGTGCTCCGGCTGGTTGGTCTTTGCAACTCCAGCTCGTGGGATTACAGTGGAACGCCGGCACGCACTGAATTTAAGCGTTGCTCTCGTGTGAGTTTATATATTTTACACCCCCATAACCCACTCAGACATGTAGGCCTGTGCGCCGTCAGTTGTACCAGCAGTGCCAGTAGGTTATGTGTGCACCCCGGGGCGCTGAGCACCCCGCCCCCATTCTAGTCCAGTCACTCTTCCAAATGCTCACGTGTCAATATAAGAAGCCGTGGGTGGAGTTATACGTGGCTCGTGGGGGACCCCCATTACATTCGATAGCTCTGCTTTTGTATTCGCAATGGAAGAGGGCATCGCGCGCGGCTCTATTCAAATATGGTGTAAAGCCTCGCGAATGTTTTCGTGACGTTACTCTGGAGTTATTAAAACAGACTCGGCACGTTGTCCCTTTATTTATAAGCGTCAAAGTGGACAAAGTACCGCTTAGATAAATAGTAGGCTTTAATGGATTCTTGGTGCACTGAAACCGATGCGTGATGCAGTTGTGTATTTCAGCCCCACGCTGACGTGTGTCTGTGGGTCCCTGAGCATGAGCCCATGTTGTGTTCAAACAAACCGTAAGTAACTTTACTAGAGGACACTGTCCTCTACCGCCTGCTCGGGGCTCGAGTCCCCTATAGCAAGTTAGACTGGGATGGTAGCCCCCATACCACAGCAAAACTATATGGAATACAGTGGAGTGACCAGAAGAAACTATAAAAACAACTTTAAATATTTCTATGAAAATAAATGTGTTTTGAATACACGTGGTGCTGCATTTGTTGATACCAACTTTCAGCGCTCCACATTTTCCAGATGAATGAAAGCTGACAAAGTTGGCAAACAAGAAAAATGTAATGCATCTTCAAAATATGCACCTTTTGCTTTTCAACTGATGGTAGATTGCTCTTCAGAGGTAATGCTGTGTCCGTAGGAGCGGATCAAAAGGCACTGTTACGGTTAGAAAAGTCAGGGAACAAAATGTTCAGTTTTTCTCGTGTTTTTTCTTAACCCCGCCCACCACAGCCCCTATGCATGCTGTATGGTTGAACAGTGTATGCTCCGATTACAATGACACGCGCAACAAGTACTCAGGATTTCATATATGAAGGGAGAACAAACTCATTTATTCAATTAGAAATGGATACAATTGTATAATATTTGAATCAAATAATGAAAGACCTCTATGGCCTGTATGTTTTAGTCTATTGTTTCAAAAGAAACAAAATGCTACATCAGCATTTCTTTTCCAGACACAGAAATGATATTCACAAAGATGTATAATGACAGTTAGTTGCATCTTGTATCAGTGAGAGACAATAAGTAGTTTAAAGGTTCAGCAGCTGACTGGATGGTGAGACACATTGGAATGAGAGCACGTGCAAAAAGTAAAGGTGAAAATCAAAGTGAGGTTTTCTAAAGCCGTAGTTAACCCACTACTGAAAGAGAACGGCCCGTGCCCTTTATTAGTATTTATTTGAGTTGCATCATATTATCAAACACTGAGAGTGGCTTATCAAATATTGCTTTTGGCCCTCAGTCGAGCTTGATGAGTAAACAGTAAATTGTATGTGGGGTGTTTTCAACATCCACTTAACAGTTTAGAGGCACTCAGGCTGAACTATCTCACGATGTCTGATCTTATGGTAAAATGAATCCTGGATCCGTGAGAATCCATATGGGAGTGGGGAACTTATCATCAGTTGATTTCTGTTGATATATTTGACCTTTACTCAAGTCTTATTTATCCCATTCACATGTCTCTTTGTCATGAATTATTTTTACTTTTCTACATGTATCATTTCAATCCCTCAGCCCCCCCCCCCCCTCCAAATGGCTGGGAGTTGCTGAAGTATGCACAGCTGTAAGGGTAAAAGCCTTGACTGACGTGTGATGCTGTGTTCTTTGCATGTGCAGAGCGTGTTCTTATCTAAATCCTTGAGATATAAAACTCACCATATTTTAGCTTGATGCTACATTATTCTGTCTGCTGTTGAATCAAACCAAACACGCATGTTGAACAGTCACCTCTGATCTTCATGATTTTTGGTGTTAGGACTCTGGGGCAATGTGACATACTGGGTTTAATTGTTGTCCAGCTCTGCCCTGTTTCCTGTACAGAGCCATGCATGCCGTACAGACGAGGCCAGACAGATTGCGATTGGTTTTTAAATAAAGAAAAAAATGATAATTTCTTCTGGTCGTCTGAACAAATGTATATACTAACCTAGTGCCTCATTTAGCATCCAAGCAAGATATGTTGTCACATCCAGGTTCGTTTTCTTTACTCTAGTCAAATCCTTAAAGAAAGCACTCGGCTCTAGCCTGTGGACATTGGGATCAATGCTGTGTTTGATGTGTCCTTTATAGAGGCCATGATGCCTGCCAGCAAAACAGAAACCAGTATTTTCTGGTGCCATGTTACAGTAAATGGCACATGATTATATCAAGTATAGTAGTCTGTTATGACCAGCTGTTTGCAGTGAGCCAGTGATATAATCGAATGAGCTTGACACACAGCTCTAGCTAATGCTAGTGACTTTCTGGGGATTTCTTCCATCATTGGAACGTACTACTGTGCACTGTCACAGATCAGGTCTCTGTCAGTACTGCACTAAAGGAGTGGATGTAGTTGGCTGCTAGGTGGACGTCAATCATCACATGTGTGGGTTTTGTTAAAGACATTTCTCAAATAGAGAACCCCTGGTCCTCACTTATCCAGACAGCTGTTTTAATGTTGGGTCAGCGGTTGGCATTAATTCCACATTGTCAAAGCTTCGTGAATGTGAGTGAGTAGAATGATGGTTAAACCTGCATGTGTGTACACATGAACATGGGGGGGGGGGGGGGGAGATCGGCAGTAACACGTTGTGTGGCATGTAGTTTTACCACATCTTCCAGGGAGTGTTCTGTTTGTACGAGAGCTGAATGTTTGAAGAGAATTCTACATTATGTATTGGTGAATAAGACGGCTTGTTCTGAGCTGTGTTTTTACTACAGGATCCTGCTACTGGCCCCGTTTTATTTCTCTTTGCAGTGCTGGAAATGTAATCCTCCAGTTGACGCATCTCTTCTATTTGTTGCTAATATTGAATTAATAAAAGATAATGGAAGTAAATTCATCAGTTTTTTAAATTATGAATCATTACCAATATGCAGTGTTTTAAAAATAGCAGATAGTCAGTGAGAAAATCTAAATCATGTATAGAAACATTTCGATGCATCAAAATGAATCTCTAATGGTTTCATAATGGCATCGTAGCCCTGAGAATCTGAATGGAATTTTGAGGTGCCTAGAGATCCCCACCCCTACTGAACAGGCCTGCTTGTTCAAAGTCACAGGGAAGAGATGTTTGGTTTGAAGGCGTGCACAGCAGCCCTTACATAAGACGCAGAAAAACGTCTCCAACTGAACTTGTCCTGAGCCTCACAGAGAAGAGACGGAGCAGAGAGTTCCTATTTGTTTGGAACAGAAGATTGTTAGTGTGTGTGTTCATGTACATACGTGAACTAGCTGCTGTGGTCCGATGAGAATGAAGTGCATAGAAGAACAGATAGGTATGGTGCATGGTTTTTATGTTTTCTTCTGAAGTGTGTGTGAAGTTATTTTTTGTGCTAGCTTGTGTGTGAGGTGTGTCCATATAATATTGTGGCAGTGTTGGTTCGTGAGGGAATTGTGATCAACAGTGGGAATTTAACATGAGTCATTATTAAGGCAGTGGGCTTGTTTTGCATCCTTGAAAACAAGCCATAATAATGCACTTTAGGTTGACCTGGTTATGTATGAGGTGTCTGCTGTTGAACTGTTTTGAGAAATTGAAATGGGTTGGGAGCAGAAGAACAAGAAGTCAGATTAACCTCATTATTCTCCTATTCACTGCTATGATGCATTGATAATTAGAATAACGATGACTTGAATGTGTAAACCTGAATTTCTTGCTGTCACATACTGTATGTCACCATGCCGGTTCCCTTCAGTAACAGTTTGTGCCCTGAGGTCCACTTTGTAGCTACAGCAACACTTCATTCAGCAGATGATGATGATGGTGGTATCAGTTTTATCATGCCTGTCATTTTATTCTGCTGAACACAGTTTGTTGTTGCTGTACGTTTAAAAAAAATAAATAAAAAAATCTATTCCTAATTGATTTAAACTAGGGGCAACGATTTAGTTATATTGTCTAACCATATTCACATATGTTGCCAATGCCTATGGATCTGTATGTGGTATTTCATAAAACCATTTACTTTTTTCCATAAGCCAAGGTCAGAGGGGCTGACTGACTCAGCATCTCGGATGAAGGTTTATATTTGGTGGTTTGATCTCAGGGCAATATTCAATGTGACTTTTATTTGTATGGAATTTGAAATCTCTGTGGATGTTAATCTTGTCTGTGTGAGTATCCCCTGTAGAGCACCGCAATGTTCACAACCCTCATACCCGTCTCGGTATCACTTAAAAAATACTGGCATTGTAATATTTTGAACGATACCCAGCCCTAATCAGTAGCCATTTATAACCGTCATAAGCAAAGATAATCCTGTGCAATATGTCAAAAAAGATGGTTTATTCTTTGCTCTTTTGAAGTGATTCAGTGTTTCTCTCACTTCCTGGCAAAGTGACTGCACGTGTCCACGATCATGCGTGCAGTGGAATCGGGTGCGGTTGTATCGAAGTAGTTGTATGAGTACATGAGCACAGCATCAAACCGATACCGGAATCGTTTTGTACATTAACATTAAGATTTGTACATTAGCAGTAGCATGATGATGATGATTGTGTCCCTAAAATCGATGAATATTCGTGATAATCGCAATTTCAATATTGATCAAAATAATTGTGATTAGCATTTTGGCCATAATTGTGCATCCATATGTTGGTTTCTGCTAAAGTGCAGTTTCATTGGTTTTAATGCTTCTGTGCCACTTAAAGAAAATAGCTCAGAAAAATGTATTTGCCGTCGAGTGAAACTTCAGTATGACGCTGTTCATGCACCTTTCCAATCTGGATAGGCCTTGGTGTTTATGAAATTGAAGTGACATCAGCAGTAGAGTGGAGTGAAACGTTGTGCATTACAAATGCCTTAAATAAAGCTGAATCAAAGGGTTAATTACAGTAAATGCAAAATGAAGACGGAACCCTGTTTTTGTTGTCTCAGTTGGTTGCAAAGCTTCTTTTTCTAATATGAAAATGTAGTGAAATGTGACTGTAAAACCTATCGGAGGGAAAGGGGTGGCCCTTTAAAGCTGGCAGTGCCCGCTCAAACTGTTCTTCCTCCTCTCTGTGTGTCAGAGCCAGCTGGTCTAACAGCACTATAAATAGCTGTGTTTGACCTCCAGAAACATATTGGGCTCAGAAAAAAGTGACAGAGAGCAAGGATTACTGACAGATGAGCAAGCGAAAGAAAGCCAGTCAATAGAGAAAGAAGGGAGGGACAGAGGAGGTGAGACCAGGAGGCAGAGATACCATTTTCCCAGGCAGTCGGTTGAAGGATGGGGGATCCAGCGACCGCGGTCGAGTCCGCCATGTCTCCTGTCGTCAATGCTATCCCCATGGTGATAACTGGGGAAATGCAAGGTGAGGAAAGCTTCAAAGGCTACGGACAAGAGAGCTGAGAAGGACAGGAGTGTGGAGGTCATTGAGGGGCCTGGTTGGTTGGTTGGTTGGTTGCAGGGTTAAGGATTAAGTGAGGAGTTCTGATGAGAACTGTTGGATTTGTCGAGTGTCCAGTTGAAGTTGATGTCACGGCCGTTTTCTCGATCTTTAGAATCCCGCATACACTGAGGGGAAAACGAGTATTTAAAAAGAAAAAAGGACCTGGTACCAAATAAGTGAGTGAAGCGGAAACCAGATGACCAGATGTATTTCAGGGTTCTTTCAATGGGATTTTGAGCAGGACAATTTGAACTAGATGTCTGTTACTCAAATGTAGATGTCAGTGTGTTGAGTTTATCATGCTAGGGTATCAATGGATTTTGTACTGGTTCAGGGGTAACATTGTATCTGTGCAGATTGTTAGACTGTATATTGCTCTTTGAGTGTGTGTCCGAGTTTGACCTAGCACCATGTAACAGACTTCAACACCTGTTCATTCTCTCTGCCACTATTTTCTCCCATCATGCATTGTGGGATGTCGGCACCCATGGAATTCCCAACACCCCTGCTCCTTTCCCCAGAGCCATTCTGAGGATTAGCGCAGATACAGCAGATGACGTACGATTCCTAACCGAATGCCCAGAAGTGTTAAAATCTAACATTTCAGAGTATCTTAATGGTCCTTTTTGTAGCAGATGTATCCAACTGGCACATAGTTAGCTCATTTCTTGGAGTCCCGTTTTGGAGTTGAGAATAAATCTTGAGATTTAGGGTGAGAAAAGGTAAACCAACCAAGCTAATCCCAGTTAATTTAAATATTTACATTTATTTTAACCAGGTTCATTGTGGGTCCGTTTTTGTCATTCCACTCTTTGTCCAGTGGCATAACCAAAACCAGAGAGCTTTATGTGATGGGATCACACTATCCCAACACCAAAGTGGGTGAGCCAGTGGCCCCCTCCCTGCTTCCTACCCCCTTACTTCCGGCGCCTTGGCTCGGAACACATCCATACTGACCTTTTTGTCTATACTAGCAGCTGTTGTGCAGTTACATTCACTATTTACTAATGCTACTACTGCCTACATAAGCAGGAGGATAGCTGGTTTTGGAACACTTTGTGACAATGTCCATGTCCAGCGGTGTTATCAGCCCTACATGTAGCCCGCCAAGCGCATAGCCAGTGTACGTGTACGTGATGTGCGCAGGTGTGGCAGTGTGGGTTGAGATTATTTCTGAAATGCTGCTAAAACGCTCGCTTGGACAGAGATCATTTTTTATTTTAAAACTAAAATGTAGTAGTGTGGATGTCTGAAGAGTTTTCTTAGGTTTAAAATGGATCCTCTTAGTCAATTTGTCGACTAATAGGTCGATTTGGTCTTAGTCGACTATGATTTCTTGGGTCGATTAAATTGTTTTTTTTTTTTTTTTTTTTTTTTTTTTTTCTGCTGAATTACTTATTTCCAAGAAACTTATGAGCACATCTCTGGTAAACACAAGATTTAAGATGGTGCTTTGGTGGGATTCTTCGTAGAGAAACTCATTAAGTGGACAAAATCTTAAGTGTTTCTCGACTAAGAATTTCTTTGGAGGACAGCCCAACATTAAGAGATACTTGGTATTACTTTGTTACTAAGGTCTGTGATGAGACTGTAACATAACATTGGCTGTCAGCTTCTCAAAGACCAACCACTGACCATATTGCTGCTTATGCAACATACATACACACAGTGTGTGGGTGATGCTTTTGCTCAGGTTTCTTTGCTGTTCTCTTTTTTGTAGATTTGAATGTACAGCACAGTTTTATTTGAGTGTAAAAACGATGCCTGACTCCAAAAAACGTGAAGTGTGAACTAGTGAATCTGACATCATACACTGTCTTTATGTTGCAGATGGTTCTAAAACCCAATCTGCAAATAAGAATGGGAAGAAGGGGGACTCTGGGTCCAGCAGCAGCAGCAGCTTCTTCACCTGGTTCATCGTGCTGGCCCTGCTGGGCGTCTGGACATCTGTAGCCGTGGTCTACTTTGACCTGGTGGACTATCAGGGAGTCCTTGGTAAGTATTTGATGCATCACGATTACATTTGGATTAAAGAGTATCTGAATATGTTCTTCCTTTCTGTAGTCTTTTCCACCTCATGCACCTTGCTGGAAATGTGTGCAAGCAACTAGTTTAGGATCGGACATCATCTGTCCACTATCGCATGCACCTGTCATCTGTCCCTGAAGTCCACCTCAACTGTTGAATAAGAACTATGCTATTAACCATTGTCGGAGCACTATCATCACATTAGCATTCATTACCAACCTGACACGAGTCTACTTCAGTCTGCTGTCAAATACTTAAGAAAATAGGATGCAAGTCAGCCTCCAGATGAGTCAAATCAAGTGAAAGAAAAATGCCACGAAAACATCAGTTAATTTTGAATAGATTGTCAATGCTGTGTGGCTAAGCTGCATGCTTATGTAGGCAGACTTTGGATACATTTGAGTAAATGAACAACCTGGCTCATATACCATCATGGGTCACCATTGGTTGTACAGTGTTTTTTTATTAACCATAGAGCTCAACAGTGACCGGCCTCTTGATAAACTGCTCCAACAGGGTTCGAGCTTAAGGACGTACTGTTGTCCCGGGGCCAAAAAATATTGGATTGGGAGGATGAAAGATGAATTTAGATCAAGAGTCCCCTGGGAACATTATATTGAATGGAGAATTTGTTGTATTTCAGTACAGCTCTAGGACGATGGTGTTAAAAGCCCTGGGATCCAGTTCCGGAAGTGAATTTCCCATTCATTCACTCTACTGACGTTTCAGAAACTCCTTGTATAAAGATGAGGAAGGAACTAAGCCAATCGGTCCGGGGTGAATCATGACCATAAAACATTTGATCCGGAGTGGAAAAAGGGCAAAGGTACAAGACTGCGTACATAATTATTTTAAGAGTGAAGCAGCTACTCGTCACGTAAACCTCACAGCCTCCGGAAACCCCAGAAAAACTACGACGCTAACGGCCGATCTAAAAATTAAGACGGATTCGTCAACTGCGTGGCAGCTTTCAGAAACGCATTTTCAAAATCTAGAAGTAAGTTTCCAAACGAGTTCCCATATCGGTCCGATTTGAAATCCAGGAGCAGGCGACCGTGGAGCAGCACGTACACGTTTATTGGTGTGGTAAACACTGCCATGGTAACGGTGAGCCACACAAAACATGTTTTTCTTAAAACAAGGATGGGGTCTTGTGTCTACAGGAGAATATATCGTCGTTTCATAGTCTCACAGCTCGTGGTTAGTCCTCCTTGCTTGATAACGACATTATGCCTAAATATCTAAATCCTCGGTTCAGAATAAGAATGAGATTTTCACTTCTGCAACTTCACTATTGAGCTTTGTTAGGTGGTTCCATTTGTTACAGTAGTATTTCATGACCAACATATATTTGACTCACCAAAATAACTTTGCTCTCATTGGTCCGTAGCATGTGGACTGCAATTTATACTGCAACCACCCCATAACAATGAATCTTCTTCACTGATCTGTACTGTTAGATGCACGTCTGTTACTGTTGATCATAGAATAATGTCTGCCACTAATCTGCACCCTTAACGACTCATGTTAAACATAGTTTGTATAGTACTCAATTATTTGTGTGAATTATGAATCTCTTCTGTCTGATTTCCTAATCAAGCTATTGTTCCAATATGTATGTTTTGTGTTTGCATGCAGACAAGGCTAAGGGCTTACAAATTAACCTGTCTGACGCCTTGCAAGGTAAAAATCCCAAGGCATATCTCTCTCCCACCCCGTACTTCCATTCTTGGTTGTTGTCTTGTGTCCTTATTGTTGTGCTCTCCAGATATTTCCCTCTCTCCCTTACACTCTTCTCAGAGCCTTGAATCTAAAATATTAAGGCTGTCATTTCTCCAGATGTTCGTCGATGACATGCTCCTTGTTAAATTGATGGAAGTTGTGTTCCTTGTTTCGCTGGAACGTGTGAATAATATACTGCCTTGATTTGGAACAAAACGTTTTCTCAGCTGGTTTAGATCCAGGGCTCTGACCTCATGTCCATCCCGTCCTCTGTGGTTCAGTTACTCTGTAGCTGGCAGACTCTAACCCAGCACCTTTGATACCACTGGTCCTAAACCTAGAACACTTCCTCACAAGCTTTTTATAGGGTAGGCTCCTCCAAGAGTTCATTAATGTCCTTTTTATTTAGTAATGTACATTCTAGCTAAAAATGCCCTGATTGTTGCCACTTCCTGTTTTTACCCACCTTGTCTCACTGTTTCCCATATTTCCCCACAATTAAAGGGATTCACCAAGATTGTGATTTTTATTATTAATAAAAAATAAAACACAATTTGTTTTATGTAGGATCCTTTTGCTCATGCCAACAGTTAGAAACACTGATGAGACAGAAGATAACCAGTGTCCCATCTACCACAAGCTTGGTGCATGTCTTTAAGTGTCCGTCTGTGTTGAATGATTCATGTAAATGTCCACTTCTCAACCTTTTTTACTGTAGTTCCTGTGAGAACAAACAGAACGTCTACATGTGTGTGTTACTGCTGTAGGTAAACTGGTGGCATACGATACAGATGGCGATGGTGATTTTGATGTCGAGGATGCTAAAGTCCTGCTAGGCAAGTTGATTTATCTCTAATTTACAACTGATTTTAGTGTTTACTATCAGTGTCTTGCAAAAATGGAAACAAAGGGTCAACGTCTCGTCTGCAATATTGGGGACATGGTACACGATCCAGTCACAGCTGATTAGTTTAGAGTTTAAACATTTCTGCAGGACACTGATAGTTTTTGTGTTTGTTAATAAATTAAATGGCAATTTGGGTTTATTTTGCATGACTGGTAACTGTGAAGCTGACAGTTACCGTAGAGACAATCTCATCAGGGACAACTGCCGACACTTGTGACCTTGGTACGTCTTTTGAATGTTTGTGTGTGTTCTTTAATAATTTGTTTTCCAAAATCAAAGTCCCCACATTTAAAGTTTGAGTTTGTCTCAGATGCCTAAAGCGTAGGTCCCAAATAAAGAAGGCAGGGGCTATAACCAACTAATTGTGTTCATTAAATAACCTGTTAGTAGAGGATGGAACACATCCAGGATAATAATGGCTCATCAGGATAATAATAATAATAATAATAATAACTTTATTTATATGGCACCTTTTCAAAGACTTCACAAAGTGCTTTGACAGATATAGCAATAACAACAACAGGATCGGTTCTAACCAAAAGTTAATTAAGGAAGGTCAACTGCCAACAGTCCTCTTCCATGCACCGCTCCTTTCCTAAGGAAATGTTCTGTTTGGTATTGTTGACATGACTCCGTGTCTATGTTGTAACGGTATAGTGTTTAGAAACATTTCTCCTCTGAGTGAAGCTCAAAACATTCAAGACAGCTGGGAGTTTGAGAAGTCCGCGTAGTTCCCAGCTGTTCCCCACATGAGGTCCGTTGCATGGTTTTATACAGGTTTGCCTTCCACTTTTATTTTTTTATTTTTTCTATCTTGTTTTTGTAACTTCCAAACACACTGAAAGGGGTACACTACTTTTAACATGTTGGACCACAGCTGTATGCAAATCGATTATTTCCAACAGAAGAATCAACATTTTGGACTTTGCATGAGAAGATGTCCTGCATAGAATCTGAAAGAAGCCACGCTTGTATATTTGTACACTATCTCATGAGAATCACAAGCTGCAGTTTGCCTTGGTTCACATGTTTTTACGTGGAGGCTAGTGAGGATCGACAGCAGACTTAACAGTTTGCTCTCGTCTGAATCTTTGGATCCCTTGTACTGCATGTAAATCTACACTCTGCTTCTTTTGCAATAATCACAATACTCACCATTTTGCTTGTACCGGAAGCATTTAGGATGCTGTCATTACACACAGTAAACCTTGGTCAAATGTTCCTGTTCTCAAGTATTCTTACATCACAGTTGCTGCTGTATACCATCGGCTCTTTTGATGAAACTCGAGGCAATCTGATCTGTCAGCAAAGTGAATCCTTCTTCAGAAAGGGTTTTCTTTTTACCCACCTTCAACTTCTCTATCCAACTAGCGACCCATCATCCATACTTCTGCAACCAACCCTACTAAAACCTGCTTTAACACAGTTAAAACTTTGTTTCCTTCTTGGCATTAGTGCTCTTTCCATTTTATTTTGATCCCTTTTTGAATTTTTCGTTTGTGTCCTCGTCTTTGTCTCACTCGTATTTTGTGTGTGTGTGTGTGTGTCTCTCTCTCTTTAGCTCAGCATTGTTTAATTGCCTGTGATGGAGCCAAAAGTGCTGTCTGTATTAAAATGCCGTTTACTGGCTGATACAAATTTAGCTTTGCAGTGCAAAGTAATCCGTCATTGAAACATTTGCAATACACACTGAACTTTTTCAACTTGGACCCTATGTTCCCATGTTATCGTGTGCAAGTGATTAATAGCAACAAATACGTTTTCTTTTTAAACTGGTTCAATTAGCAGGCTGTAATGTAATCACTCTGAGCAGCTCCTTACTGTCAACGTAATGCTACGTTCACTACAACATTATGGAGAGAGCCCAACAGAGAAACCTTTCTCTTGAGCCCGTCTGTTTCTCATGTCATGTGATTTGTTGCCGGAGTGAGAGTGGAGTTGGACAGACGAGTGCTGGTGTTGTCAGTTTGTTGAGTTGGAGAACAGAAAGTGTAGATTTCAGAAAGACATTTCTCCTTAACATTTGGTTGGACACAAAAACAAACCGACGGGATCCAGTGATCTCTGTAAAGTTCTTCCATAATGTTGTCAGACACTTGTTATAAAAAATCTCAGCTTATAAAAACAAGCACATTTAGTAGATGTAATGTAACAGAGATTACATTACAGCCCATTTAGCGACAGCAGTCTGCAGCATTCTCCCTCAATGGGACCAATTTCAAAGACTGTCCCAATAGTCACTTAGACACAAAAACATGGGAAATAGGATCCAAGTAAAAAAATACCAAACTTAACCTTTAATAGTTTACAACTCGCACCTTTTTGAAACTTGAGTGTCACCATGATACTCTTAACAAATGTCCCAATGTCTGCTGACAAATTGTTGCTTTCCACGACAATAAATGTGTATTTGACAGCATGTGGATGTGTCCACAGTTCTTCTCTTACCTAACTCTTGTCTATAAGTTACGGCTGTCTCCACATGAACTGTCCCATTGGTAGGCACAGTGTCGGGCTGGTGCTTTTACAAAATACACCATGAGATTGTTGATAGATATCAGTAATGTTGGTAAAGGCAAATAATAAAGCAGAATAGTCTAGTACAGGGGAATTCAATGTTTTCAGGCCAAGGACCCCGAAACTGATAGAGGGATGGAGCAGGGACACCCTAGTGTGTGTGTATATATATGTGTGTATATATATGTGTGTGTATATATGTGTGTGTGTATATATATGTGTGTGTATATATATGTGTGTGTATATATATGTGTGTGTGTATATATATGTGTGTGTGTAT